TCTGCCACATGTTCCAGGTACGTCTTGTTGCACCATTAATTTGAACAGGCATTGTGGGAAGACTGTTGTTGAGACGCGAGTGCAGTTGTACAGCAGTAACAAGGTCAGGAGACTGCTGTTTAATCTAAGGATCTGCTATGACTGTCTGTCACTCAACCACGGAAGTTTTAAAAGGGGCTGATCTTTAGACTGGAGAGCATTGCTTCTGTCTTAGGTTGCCTGTGAGTGATAGCAGGCAGGAAGGAATTCAGGTGGCAACTTTGGAGGCTCTGTTTACTTTCTTGTCACATGTTTGGTTGGTCAATCTAGGCAGTCCGTTATTTTGAGGAGTTATTTAAGGGTCTGACGTTCCTGTATTGTGTTCTATATTTGAAAAGTAACAGTCAGGGGACAGTGTAGGATTTGGCTGGAGCAGACACATTAGAAGGACCTCGCTCCCTCAGCATTGAAATCCATGACTGGCTTTGTGTTTGGAAGCAGATCCACTTTCAGGCACCACTGTCTCTACAGGCCTGTGCATCAACATCAGTGGTGGACATGTCTCCCAGCAGAGAGTCTCTACATGAGGGACTCTTCTAAAGTAAACCTCCCCTTTGCATCTGGAACTCATGATACCCTGGGTGGAAATTGTTTGCTAAAATCCCCTCTTGTAGACAAGGCCCTAAAGACTTAATTTTTTACGAGGCCTAAAAAAAGGGAGAGGGAAAAACAATATGAACTTGGGGGAAGGTAGGGAGGGTCTTTATTCTGCCACATTAAAAATCCAGATATGCACATAAAGTAACCAGTCATTACTGTAACTCTCCTCTTCCCTGTTTCTTTATGCTTCAGTTCTCCCTCCCCCTGCCCCATTGCGGCATGCCTCAGGTTAGATTGTAAGATCCTTGGGGCATGGTACAGGTCTTTCATTTGTGCTGCAAGGCACTTAGGCACTGCATAAATAATAGTAAAAACACTGGTTCTCATCTCAGTAAGCACATGAGCATTTCAATTAAACAAGCTTTACTGTACAGACCATATGTCAGCTACTCCAAATGGATGAGCTTTGCGTTTTGTCTTTTTTTTTTTTTTTTTAAACTGCTCTTAACTAGAATAATTTGTAAATCTGTCTTTGGCTCTTAGTAAGTGGTATTACAGACCTTTTGTCCCTGTAACAAACTCTTTGCCCTTAGGGAGGGGCCGAACTACCTTCATTTGAATAAACTTCATTCCAGCTTTCAGGAAAAGCTATATCTCTGTTACTGTATTTTGAAATCTTTGCTACTGCATTTCTGTCTTCTCCCTCCCCCTTACCCTTTCTTCTCTGAAGGAAAATTTTAAAGGAGCAGTCCACTTAAAACAAAATTCCTTATCTGTTGCTAATACTCTTGATTTTTAGAAGTGCCCTTAACCTAAATTTCCTTTTGTAGGGTCTCTTTAACTCCAGAAAACCAAACCAATGTTAAAATTATCCCTGTTCTGGGGTCCAGGTGCCCTAGGGTGACCAGATGGGGGGTGGGGGGGAAATAGGTGCCTATATAAGAGAGAGCCCCAAAAATCATGACTGTCCCTATAAAATCGTGACATCTGGTCACCCTAAGGTGCCCTCACCCATCAGTCTTGTTTTGGGTTTTTTCCCATCCATTTGGGAAGTCAAGACACAGTCTCCTGTAGTTGCTGATATGTGTTTTTTTGAACTTCGCACTTTGCCGTAGGCTCTGGCCTTTCGACACAGTTTGGGAGCAGTGTTTGAACTGTTTGCCATTGCAGCTAAGCCTTTTGGCCAGCCAATGGTAGGACCACGTTTTAAAAAAAGAGTTTTGCCCAGCCAAACTATGCCGGAAATGGGTTGAAATGTAACTCCCAGACTCGGCCAGTGTAGGAGAGGGACCCAAGATGCTAAAAGTCCAAAGCTTAGAAAGCATTTCGGTTGCTGCAGGAAAGAGCCTCTGAGCCAGCAAGATTGACGCAGCGCAAATGAATGTGGCCTGGAGGGCCAACTACAGCAAAACTATGTTTCCGGTACCCACGAAAGAGCATAAAAGGTGCAAATGTCTACCTGAACTTTCTTGTTAAACATGACTCGAGCATGGTTGGGCCCTAACCGATCAGACTCTGGTGTGACTCTACTCTCTTTGAAAGAGTGAAGAATTTTCCCCATTTAAATATCCGCGGTGTTGTATGTAGTGCCCACAGAAGAGACTCCCAATACAGCACTTTCTATCTCATGTTTACCTCCTGTTTTAACTGGAATGGGCATCGCTTTAGCTGTAGGGTTGATGAGCTTTTTTGGTCAGCTACAAACTACAGGGAGTGAAGGAACTTCACATGATGCAACTCTGTGTGTGTCCTGCAGCCTCTGGAGACTAAACGTGATGCTTATAACCCTTAATGGTACCTACAGATGGTTTAAAATAAACATGGATTACAGATCACAGGGGATAGCGCCAACACACTTGCTTAGGGGCATTTGCTAAGGAAAATGTGTTGGTTGCATCAAAAGAGATGACGGAAATTTAATTTGGAAAGTTGGAACCTCCAGGTTATAGGTGCCCCCTGATGGGATGAAGAGAGGCAGTTTCCATGACATCCTGTCTCTCTCGATGGAATCTTAAGGAAATAATCAATCCTCCTTTGAAGATGGCATAAGCTTTTGGGGTACCTATTAAACTTGCTTCCTCCTATATAAATATCACCCACTACAAGTGAAATCCTACCCAATGCCTTCACTGTATCTGGTTAACTTTCTTCTAATGAATCTAAAATACTGTAGTTTGTGCTGTCTGCAGAACATTCTCTCTTGTTCAGGTCCAGTTAGAACTAGCTGAATTTTGCTGTTTGTATACTCCCATTAGTAGAAACACTGTTGGTGTTAATTATTTGATCACAATTTTTTGTATAAGAAGAACTTTATCGAGGATATTTTTTTTTTATTGCTCGTCCTTAAACCTCTATTGCCTTTAGTGTGCGTACGAATAGCTTAAATATAACTTGTTCAATCTGAGCTAACAGTTTGGCCAAAATTTCCCCATGGAGTAAGTAGATCCAGCTCCTATGCTAGTTGCATTTGCTTAAATTAGGTCTCTGTTTGGCTCTTTATTTCCAGTTAGGGGCCTTATACACATTGGGTAGAAGTAAAATGATAAAGTTGGTGAATTTACAGCTTTGGTAACTAGAATTAAGTTTAAATTTGTTGCAGTTAGCAACGCCATTTTAAAATGGAACGAGTCTATACCAGGAAGGTCTCTTCTCGGAGGTTGTCTTTTGCACAAAGACCCACATGAACTCAAAGGGTTTTTAAACTGAAGTCTGGAGCATGTACAGCTTGTGCTTCTGTGTATAAGGAGGGAGAGTTGAAGCTGTCAGTATATCTCCCCTGTTTTTTGTGCTTCTGAAAGAGACATTAGTTGGAAGAAGTAGGCGTTTTTAAGCATTTCAAACTTGGCACTATATCCTGAAGATAATGGGGCTTCTCGTGACTAAGGGTTTTCTTAGGCCCTTACTGCGTCTTACTTATAAAAGGGGTAATGAGACAGAAGTCCTATAAAAAGAAATCTGAGCTGCCTCGACTAGATCTGGAGCTAGAATGAGTTTCGGTGGGAGAGATTTTTGTCCTGCTCTTTTAAAAAGGCAAAATACAAGAACAATAGAAGCTAATCGGGGATTTAATTTTGTATAAAGAACTTTCAGCCTGTTTTTTTGTTTGTTTGTTTGTTTTTTTTTCAACCTGTTCATTCCATTTCTTCTTGGCAGGGTGTTAGCTGGAGTACAAAATTCTGCTATGATGATTGGCTCTAACTTCCTAAAATTTTCTTGAGAAATGATTCTTCTGTTATGTATATGGGTGTGGGATTGACTGTTAACAAATGTGTCTATGATATGGTGTAGGGTGAAGACAGACTCTTGAGACATTCACAGCAGAGACAGGACTTATTTTTTACCTCCATAAATTTGGAGTTGGCCTATGTATACATGGACATAGAGTTCACAAGAGTGAATTACAATTAAACTAGATACAAATATTTAACATTACTTAAGCAAAACTGAAAGAAATGCTTTGACTAGGAGCATAAAACTTGCCATTGCAGAGTCAAATCTTCTGGTTCTTCAGACTGAGTATCTATCTTGGAACATGACTTTGTTATAATCTTCCCTGAAAAGGTTTTTTCCCAATGTAGCTTTCATTAGAGGATCTGTCTCCAAAGGAAAATAACTGTCCAGTAACACCACAGAAGCAAATATAATTAAGAGCCTACTAGACACTTTACTGGGGCACATGTACCCACGCATTAGTGGTGCTTATCCTGAACTGATGTATAGAATAGGACAAGAACAAGGAGGGTGGTCGGGTTATGTGGCTTAATTTTGTCCTTTCAATACTCTTGTCTGGCAACTTTGATTTGTATTGTAGCCTATTGAGAGAGTAGAGTTTTTAGTGCTCTTGTTACAAGGTGAAAATCTATAATCTACAACTCCTGCAAAGTTACAGGGGATTCCTAAAGTTAGTTTGAAACAGAGGCGTTTTGTGGGGCCAGAAAACTCATTTGGCAACTCTCTCTACCTCGTTCGCTCCCCACAGTCCCTTTTTATGCCAATCCGGTTTATATGGATGGCTCTGCATGAGCCTAGGCGTGCCATAGTAACTAGCCTTGTTTTGTAATTCAATGCATCTTATTTGTTGTTAAACTTGGCAGAGCTGAAATGCTGTAACATGGTCCCATGCTGCATCGGTACAGAGCCTGCTATCACCATTCTATTTATAACTCATTGCTGGGCTTTAACAGTCAGCCCAGTATCCTCTCTCTCTTTCTTAGGTACTTTGAAGAACTTAGATTTTTTTCTCCTGTCTTTGGGGCAGCAGGAAGAGGAGGAAGTCTTCAGCTTTGGGGAACTTTCCTTTTACTTTGTGGATGTCCTGGCATTCTGCAACTTGATATTTTGAAGACCGAGGCAGAGATGTTCCGAAGATGAAGGTCACTGGAAGGAACTTTGGGACAACTCCCACTATGGTGAATTCAAGGTTTAAATCTGCGTAAGATATTAGAAGGGAAGAAACAGATGAATGTTTAAGAGAATATTTTCTTTATTCTCTGACATAGGTCTCTTTGCGTGCTGGCAATCTAAATTATTAGTCTTGTGCTTTTTGTCTCATGGGGTTCAAGTAAGAATTTTCTTAGAAAATCTGATCAGCTAGCTACGTGGCAGCATTAACAAGTCCAAACTGTAGATGATGTGAGACCTGTCTTTGTTGTGTACTTAATATATGTGTACAAACGAGATTGCAAACAAAACTTACTTCTCCTGTTTGGTCTTTTATCTGTGTAACCTGTAATCATGGGAAACAGTATCTTTGCAAATTGCTGCAGACACGTCACTGATCTAATCTTCCAGACACACAGCTTTAATTCGTCTGAGAGGGCCCCTCTCTTACCCAAATCTCCCATTAGTTGCACTGCACCTCCTGATGTCTCCCTCCCTGTTCAAATGAAGTTAGATGTCTCGGAAGCTTGCAAATGCATGCCACTGTATCCGGACATTATTCTCAGCAATGCATCGAATGAAAGTCTGCAGAAATGGCCAGAATATGTTCAAGGCTTACCCAAGGAGAAGGGCAGCGAAGAAACGATGAAGGCCTCTGAAAACAGCTGCTCGAAATTCAGTGTTGCTGTTGCTAGCTTAATAAAGCAGGCAGAGGCATCTTCTGCTCTGGCCGTCCTTCCTGTCGACCTTGAGAAAGGATCAGCTACACAGTTAAATTATTCTCAGTCACTTGAGGCCTGCCAGAATTGCGGGAAACTTGAGGCCAATGGCCTAGACTCTAAATCGTGCAACCAGGAAGAGCCTGTTGTTCCAGCTGACAAAAGAGCTGCAGCCCACAGAATGCCTGTTGTTGATTGGCAGCAAAACCAAGACCTCTCTAAAAGGGGAAAAGCCTCCAATTTGGAACCATCGTTAGCCGCTCCAGGTGTCCAATTAAAACACAGAACTAACGTTTCTAACTTGGGGAGCTGTGAAACGGTTGAAATGCCTGAATCTAATCTCTCTGGAAAGGCAGAGAAAAGCCAGAATATCCAAGAGACAGTCTTGTCTGTTGTTACAGATGAGAATACACATATGATCCAGGATAAAAGCACTTGTTACTTACCGACCAATCCTGCAATTGGCCTAGATGATGGGTTAAACCTTGATCCTGATCTTGAAGTGAGCACACTGCCATCAAAGCAGAAGAAGAGGAGGAGGAAAAGGAAGCTTTGTTTTTTAGGTGCTTGGGGAGTGACTTTTTATTCTTCCGGGTGTGGGTGTGTTTTTATATATAATATATATATATATATATATAATGTCCTTATGAGGGGAGAGGTATGCTGGGAAGAAGTAAAGTTCCATTCAGACTCTGTATTCACTCCCTTAACGATCTCAGAACTTTTTTTCCTTTTGGGCTGAAATATCCCATGTTTGCTCTGTCACAAGGTGACTTTATTTATTTTATTTATTTATTTATTTATTAAGTTTGCACAAAAGCTTTTTCCTTTTTCCATTTTATGAAAGCAAACTTTCCTCAGGCACAGAACTCAATCACTGCAATCTAAACGTCTGACTTCACAAGTGACTAGGGCTCAGTAAGGAATAGTTGCGGTATGAAATTGCAAGGTTGTGATCTTTTAAAGAGATGTTATGTGTTCAGTGGGTCTCTTTCCTACGTGCAGCTCTATGGTAACGTGCAAAAATTGCAGGTTTGTGTAGAACTATACTTAGACACAAGATATTTTAGGGTGGCTAATTTTTAAAATCCAAGTGTGCATTTGCACTTGTGCAACCAACTGGGGTTATTTTTTGCATCCAGCTCCCTCCCCTGGCTCTTTACAAGAGTAAGCTATTGCAGTGTTACATTTATACACAGATTAGGAACTGCACAAGAAACACTAACGGTCTGCATATAGAACCAGTTGGTCCTATTTATTTTATATATTGAGGCACGATGCGTACTTATGGGCAGTATGGATGAGTGAATATGAAAATTTTGTTCCGCATGTGTAAATATAACATGAAGTTTACAAGCTAACTTTTAATTTCTTCTTTTGCAGAGAGGTAGCATGATCTGATGACTAAAGCCTAGTAAGAGAATGGAACCCTAACCGTGAGCCACTGTCGCTCTCAGGGTGAAGTTCCGTGGTTAAGGCGGGGAAGAGAATAAACACTTCTGTGGCCATTTTCCCCCTTTATTTTTATTTTTCAAGGTCTAGAATGTTCAAAGTGGTGGGTGGGAGGATGTTGTCTTTGAGGTTGTGAAAGATACCTGCTAAATATGGTCTTCCATGTGATTCTGCCAACTATATGTGGCTATCGCCTGTGCATACATAGTGTCATAAGGTGTGTGGTTAGACCAGAGTGTGTGCAAACTTCTGCATGAAGAATTAAGGTATTTAGTCTGATATTCCTTTTATTTTTAGGCAAATCCAGCCCCAGTTTATGCAACTCCCGATATGATTCTGCTGTTCAAAGGCCAGAGCTGGATTACAAGGGGCTCTTCACATTATTGCACTGAAGGCAGGCCTGGGGAAGGGAGGGATCAGAAGTACAGCTCTGTAAGTCTTTGGCTCCGTTTCCCTCTGGATGGGCAGGGTTATCTGGGCCATTGTGGATGAAACGGCCTCTAAGCAGCTCTGCACTTGCTCTGTAGAATGGGGCAGGATCCTGCTCCTCCTCCTCCATCTTCCCTGTGCTTAAACTGGGAGCTGTGCAAAGGATTAGCCCCTAGGTCCGGGCAACATGGCAAAAGAGTCACAGCTGGTACTGTTGGATAGCTGCACAGTTTAGTTCTCTTTCAGTAGATCCCGTCTGGTAGGTAAAATAAGTGAGTGAGGTCAGTGAAGGCAAGCAAGGTAGCTTAGTGGAGGGTTCTGGTGTGATGTCATAAAACACACAGGAGCCGAGCTACTTGGAACTCCGTGCGGGATCGGATTTGCGTTTCAGGTTGGTACTGTCCACAGGAGGCAGTATCCGTAGCAATAAACCAGAGTGATATGTTGCAGGAGCACTCGTGTGTGAGCCGTTACAATGCCAGTCTTTAGAAATAACGTGTTTATTTAAAACTCGGGCCAGCTGTGATCAGCTTGTTGCTGAATTCTACCGAAAAGGTGCTTAGGAGTTTAGCAGACATGCTGGCCTCTGTTCTTAGTGGAAATGCTTTGGAGAACAGGTTTATGTTCCCCCCTGCTCACACCCCCCCCTTTCCCCCCCCCCATTTTGCTTCTTTCTGAAAACTGAAAAGGAGTACTTGTGGCACCTTAGAGACTAACCAGTTTATCTGAGCATAAGCTTTTGTGAGCTACAGCTCACTTCATCGGATGCATACTGTGGAAACCGCAGAAGACATTATATACACAGAGACCATGAAACAATACCTCCTCCCACCCCACTCTCCTGCTGGTAATAGCTTATCCAAAGCGACCACTCTCTTTACAATGTGTATGATAATCAAGTTGGGCCATTTCCAGCACAAATCCAGGTTTTCTCACACACACCCCCACACACACACACAAACTCACTCTCCTGCTGGCAATAGCTCATCCAAACTGACCACTCTCCTTACAATGTGCATGATAATCAAGGTGGGCCATTTCCAGCATAAATCCAAGTTTAACCAGAACGTTGTGGGGGGGTTAGGAAAAAACAAGGGGAAATAGGCTACCTTGCATAATGACTTAGCCACTCCCAGTCTCTATTTAAGCCTAAATTAATAGTATCCAATTTGCAAATGAATTCCAATTCAGCAGTTTCTCGCTGGAGTCTGGATTTGAAGTTTTTTGTTTTAAGATAGCGACCTTCATGTCTGTAATTGCGTGACCAGAGAGATTGAAGTGTTCTCCAACTGGTTTATGAATGTTATAATTCTTGACATCTGATTTGTGTCCATTTATTCTTTTACGTAGAGACTGTCCAGTTTGACCAATGTACATGGCAGAGGGGCATTGCTGGCACATGATGGCATATTGTCTTAAATCTAAATATTAGTCACTTAAACCTGGGATCAAAGTGATAATCCTGTCAGGCTTCTGTTTCCACCCAGATTATTGGAAGCAGAGTATAAAATTCCTGGGGTCAAAGATTCTGCTCTTCTCTGCCCCTGTGAATCTGCAATAGCCACATTTTCTGCTCCATTACTGCTGCTCCATGGTGTTGCACTGCTGTAAATATGAAATTTTTGGTCCTGAATCCTATCTTGGATTCAGCTAGGAAGATGGTGGGAATGCTTTTAGCATGCTGGGGTTCTTATTTGTTTTTATCATTGTGCCAAGTGTGCATTTCCAGTTTGCAGACATGCTTAAAAGCAAGACAAGTGTTTGGAGTTTGGACACCTATTTCAGACTGTGAAGACATGTTTGTACCCTCAGAATGAACCTGCAATCACAGTGGTGGTGACAGGTTCATGCTTAAGATGAGTAAGGACAAAGTAGGTTTTTGATTCCTTCATCTTTAACAGTCTGCTGATAGTGTTGCTAAATGCAGGTAAGGGGATACTAAAAACCTTACTTTATTTTGACAGTGTCGCCTATTTCTTAAGTTTGGGATGTAACTTGTTAGCAGGTTAATTTGGGACTGCATTTATACTGCTGTGTCTTAGGCCTGAGGATGAAATCTGCAGTAAAGTGTTTCTATTAAAAGGCATCATTGTTGTCTCTTGAAGTAACAGAATAACTTCAGCTCAGTGGTTTTCAACCTTTTTTCATTTGTGGATCCCTAAAAAATTTCAAATGGAGGTGCGGACCCCTTTGGCAATCTTAGACAGAGTCTGTGAACCTCCAAGGGTCTGTGGATCATAGATTGAAAACCACTGACTTAGCTATTGGATACTTCCCTGGCTTGTTTGAACATTATGGATGTAAATTTCTGATGTTCCATTACCTCTCTTTCTTACAGGAAGTAGATTCAAATTCAGATATGAAAATGGCACCTTGGCAGGGACCTTGATCTAATTGTTTTTGAGAGGTGCCTACATCATGTGTGGGTTCAGTACAAATAGAGATAATCACAATATGGTGTCTTGTCTCGATATTTTTTTGGTCTGTCCATGTGAGTAGATAGAAACTAATTCTTTTACTTAAACTGTTACATCAGGTGTGATGTAATTTGATCAAGCACTACAGGGTTCTCTATTCCCTCTAAAGAGTTGGTTTTCACCATAATATTTTGGTTTGCTTGTTTTTTCAACATAGTGATCAGCAGAACCTGAACACAGGTGAAGATTGTGATGTGAACCAATGGCCCAGAATATTTAGTTACTGCTGAAGTGTCTGCCCAAAGAAAACGTGGTTCAGTCACTTTAGTAGAGCCTGTGAGGATGGGCTTTGACCCAGAGGATTCTTACTGTAAGTGTGTATTGTCACTTTAAAGAATAGTTTTAACCTCCAGGTTCTTCTAACAGTTGTGACCACAAAGCAGTTTGGTTAGAGGTTTAATGTAGAAGTAGAATGAATGTCCATATTTCCGTTTATAGTGATAAGATCAGGATAAGAAAGGAGGGGCTTCTGGCCTAAGGCTTCTGAAAAGAACACAACCCGTTCTCAGTTGTGATTCAGTAAATTACCCTACCGTATTTTTAAAATATTTTGTGTTGCACTTTCTTGTACAGAGTAGGGGCTCAGTCTTACAAACACATTCATTTGTAAATTAAAACCTAAAAAACACAGGAGAGATGCCCAGAAATGTTTTGTAATTTGAAGAAATGAGTAACTTTACTCATGTGATATATCCATTGCTAGAATAGCACAACACACTGGTTCCAGGTTTGGACTGAGAGTTATAAAATAAAACTGCATTGCCTCTAAGAAAAAAGCCTAGCTTTTCTTTCTTTTTTTTTAAATCACTTTCTTACTAACCATCTTAAATTTTATTGAAGGTGCACTTGTAAAATTTATTTTCCTTTCCCTCTTTGTGCTGTTTGATTACCTCAGGCATTTCTCTGTGGGAAAACGCTGGCATAGCTGGCGTTGTTTCTGTGTGTCATTTCCCTTTCTATCTGCTTCTACAGAGCAGCCGTGAAAGTTGGTGACTCCTTTTAAAAGTGGGTAGGCGAAACTTCCATGCAAAGCTCTTCTAGGCTTTGTGAGTCACTGTAGAGGATGCGATGCTTACCCTGAGGAGACACCCCTGCAGCGCTCCAAGTTGCGGTTGCAAAGAAAGAGACTGCTTGTGTGGAAACGGCAATGTCCTGAAAACCCTTCCTGATTTGTAAAACCGTCTTTCTTTTCCCGAAGGCGACCTAAACTATTGGGTTAATCTACTGCTCTCTTTTGGTGCAGGATTAATTTCTTGCTCCTCAACGTGAGACCATGCTGGCTAGAGCTGGATCATGTGGTGCAAGTAAGCCTTAAACTGCCACCTCTTTGCTGCCCCTCCCTGTCCCATAGCTTTACCAATTCGTATCCTTTCGTGATGGCCAGTGGGGAGTATATTGCACCATATTGCATGATGGCAGCTCCTTGATGTGGCGAGGTCTTCTAGGAAGCAGTCCACCAAAACGGTGCTCACACCATTATTTTGTAACTTTTATAGCCCTGGAAAGTCATAAACAGAAGCTGAATTATTTAGAAATTTAGAATTTATTTAATAGAAATAGCCCTGAATTTATGTAGGAAAGCTCATATGCAGCCTCTCCTTTGATTGGGTAGATGGAGTTAATAGCACTTATCTATGACCAGTTGGTGTTGCTCAGTTCACACTTGGAGCCGGGGTAGTCCTGGCTTGCAGCATTTTTTAGCCCATGATGCCTCAGCAAAAAAAAAAAACCACCACACACTAGCAGGAAAATGAGTGGCATGCCTGTCTCTAGAACTGCCCACCTCTGAGCAAGTCAGTTAATTTCCCCTTGCTTTTTAGGAAACTTCACTTACTTGCTGGGAACTTAGAAGTGTTTCCAGATGACGTGTTTCCTGCCTCTGTAGCTATAGAAAAAGGTAGTAATCTTGGAGAATGTCAATTGGCCATGTTCCTCTCTACGGGCTATGATGCCGGAATGGCTGTTGTGTCCAAACTAGGTATCTCTGGTGGGTCTGTTTGGGTGGGATACCTCCTCAGTGAGGCTAATGGGAGATAGACACGCCTGTGCAGAGCAGCAAATGTTGGCTTGATTATAGCATCAGTGGGATCCTGGTGTGAGGCCTGCTGTACTAAGCCCATACGGTTTGCCAGGGCTGCAGGCAAGAGTTTCAGGGTGGCTGCTGGGTGGAAGAGCATAAAGACTGGCCTTTGCGGGTCTGGTGACACCAAGTGAAAGCTCCCCTAAGTCTAAAATGGCTTGTTGTACATGGGGCCTGCTGTAGCACCCTTGGGGCTAAACCCTGTCTCCCCACCTACACGTCCGCTAGAGTACAACAAGGGAGAACTTCCCCCTCCGATTGCAGGATCCAGCCTTGTCCTAGGCTCCAGAAGTCAGGTTATGTGGGAGGGGAGGGATAGTGCTGTCATCGACGCTAGTAACCCAAGAGGTAGCATTTCAGGGGCATCCTGTGGCCTCATCCCCCTGTGCACCAGGTTGTCTGAAGGGAGCTCTGCTCTATAGGTGTAACAAGGAGTGCCTCTCCCCAGGCTCTGGGGATGTGCATTTCAAAGACCCAGCTTCTCGGGTCACTGTTGCTCGGGCAGTGTGTCCGTTCCTCTTTCCCAGGATGGCTTGGGCATGTCAGAATCCTAGTGGAGCCTTCAGTCAGCTCTGCTCGTAGGTTTCTGTCAAAGCACAGCATGTGTGGGAGACACATGTAGAGGGACACTAAACATTAGCATCTGGGCAGTCACTGCCGATGGCACCAGAGGCTGTTAAAACAGCTCTGCTGTTTACCCCGTCCCATTGGATAGGGAGAAATTGTTTCCTGTCCCATTTCTTGCACCTGCTCCCTGTTGTAATTTGGCCTTGACAGTCATCTGCAGGTAGGAGGCCAATAAATTAGGAGTGATCTTAATCTGAAGCCATAATACCAGAATAATAATCCGATGGGAGAGAACGCTTAGCGCTTTGCTGGCATTAATTACTTAAGTCTCGTGGCCCCTACAAGAGGCAGGCAAGTAAATATGTTTATCCCCATTTTCCAGATGGTAAAAGTGAGAGACTGAGTGGTTACTTGACCATCTTGGGGCTGCAGAAGGAGCTGATGCTTTGCGGCTAGGGTGGCTGATGCTCACTGATGTATATTGAAGCGTCACAATGCTTGGTTTCACCTGAATCATCTACAACAATGAAGTGGCATGTTAAAGGAGTTTAGGCAAATGCTATGAAATACCCAGAAGTGCAGCTGGGGATGAGACAGTAACTGCCTAGAAGCAGTAGAAATGTAAAAAACCTATCGAGTAAGAGGATGATAATTTCATTTCACAGCAGTTTTTGAGGTTTTGACATTTGTTTTAGTTCTGTATTGGAACAAAGAAAAAAACCTTTTTAAACGCCCCCCCCCCCCCCCCCCGCCTCCCAAAAGAAAGTATCTTTCGATGTGGGAAGGGGGCTGTCTCCTGGTAAGGAGGGCACCAGAACAGGAGTTTTTCACCCCAGATCACTCTGAATCAGGCAGAGCGGGGACTTGTACCTGGGTCTCCCGCATCCCCGGTCATTGTGCTTAACCACCAGGCTACAAGGTGACACTGTCTCTCCTTAAACCATCCTGATGAAAACTTCACTGAGACTGATGTGCCGCTGGCAAAAGCTTTCAGCTTTTAGGAAACAGCATATTTTAATTAAATAAAATTTTGTGTAGCTCTTTTATTAGATCATCCAGGCCAGCCCCTTCCTTCATGACCAGTACAGTAATAGTCTCTCTACCGCACATTCCCCAGTGTTCTGCCCAGTCTCATTTAAATTATTGAGCTGTAGGGATTTCACATGACTCTCTAGGAGCATTATGGATTTTGAACAGATCACTGCTGTTATCACGCTGCCAATGGCCAGTTGTCCTTGAGTAAGAATCTGTCTGTGTCCAGGCAGCCACACCAGGGTGGGCATGGAGGAACTGCAAAAAAACCAAGTTATTTCGTTTTGCATGTGTCAGGTGAAGTGGTATTCTTCACGCAAAGTCTCTCCCATTGTACTGCAAGACATCTGCAAAGTAATTTTAAAATGTAAAGAGTTATGTGACGCACACAGGGGCGTGGGAGCTGTTTGTGTTTCTGTGAAGTAGCTTGGGTCCCACGTGACATGTGGGTTAGGAATGCAACTGCCCTCTTTTAGCTGAACAGGAGAGCAAGGGAAGGTATTTAAGAACCCACGTAACTTGTTGGTGCACAGGTTACAGCTGCCCTTGGGCTGCAAAGCACCACACACCCATCTTTTCATCAAGAAGGTTCTTAAAATTGAACTGAATTTTTCTAGGCTGAGCCATTCTCCCTGTTTCTCTTTTTTTTTTTTCCCCCCTACCTCTTCCCTGCTGATTCGGCTCTCTTTGGGAGATGTGTACCCCTTGGGCAAGGGAAAGGGTGTTATGTATGCAAGTGGTAAGGTATGGCACACCTATTTCTATTAAACATTAATTGTATGGGGGCGGGGGGAATCTAATGACTTGGGCTTTTTTTAAACCACAGATTGTTGAAATGGAGGTCCCCAGCTTTTGGTAGCCTGGTATGTTAAGCATCCTGAGGCGACTGGCTTTATTGTTTTGGGGCCTTGCTAAATCTTTCTTTCCCCTCTCCCGCATTGTGACTAGAACACCCATCTGGCATGGCTTTAATGAACGGTGACGGCTCTTACGAGCACCTCAAGGAGGAGAGCAGGCAGAATGGCCACGAGGAGGCTGACCCAGGGGATGATGCGAACGACCAGGAAGTTATCGTCATACAGGACACCGGCTTCACTGTCAAGATCTACGCTCCGGGGATAGAACCCTTTTCCCTACAGGTGAGCGTCTGTTGAGGAGATGCAGCAATGGCAGCTGGTTTAGAACTAATTGAGGTGAGAGTGGGGGAGAACAAGGCGGTTATAAGGGCAAGACCCGGACTGGAAAAGGGGCTTGTGCCCAGATTGGCTGACCCTTGCTGGCTTGCGTGTTAATCATTTATGCCGGCATATAGTATGACACTTGCAAAGCTAATCAAACACTAACTAATTAATCCTCTCAACGCATCTGTGTGAGGGAGGAAGGTAGGTCCGGCATTATCCCGAGAGGTGAGGGGAGCGGGAAGAAGAGAGATGTTAAATCACTTGCTCCAGGTGTTGGGGGAAGGCGGGAAAGCAGTGTCAGGGCTGGGGTTAGATCTCTGTTTCCGTGAGATCTCCCTATTTCGGAATACACTGCATGGCAAAAGCTAACCAGAAGCCTCTGAGGTTGGTGCTCGCACATCCGACCTTCTCTCCCAATGAGTGAAGGGGAAAGAACAGGTGACTGGCAGCTGTGTTTTGGCAGAGCGACACTTGCAGGAAGTCCGTTTAATTTAATAATGACCCTTAGCCAGCATCTCATGGTCACAAAGAGGCCTTTCCTCCATGGCTGGCTGTTTTTCCCTCTCCCTTTCCAAATCTTGCCCGAGGACAATGACCCAGAGCTAGGTAGCGGTGCTGAGACAATGCAGAGGGAAAGAAAGGAGGCTGTATGAGCAAAGGGAAATGTAGTGTTGGAGGCTGCCTGGGGCAAACTTGTGGAAGCTTAATTGACAACAAGGAGGGCGTCGTGCCCTGGATCCTGTAACAAACGGGGAGTCAATGGCTCTTGGAAGACGTGGCTGCATTTCTCAGCGCGCCTGCAGCAGTGTGCTTTTCCCTCTAGTACCTGGTGCGTGGTACTAGAGGGAAAAGCACCTGTTGTTAGCCTTCCTACGACCACACCTTCCAACCCTGTCCGTGTGGGCAGTGGCTTTGCTTCGTATGATGAGGCCGCTCCAAGAGTTCTTTCCCCTCTCCGTTCACGCACCACCAGGCTAATTCTCTCCCCTTCATTCTAGTCCAGTGGCATTGTGTTTCCAGGTGTGCACAGCAGGATCCAAGGTTAAAAATCATTCGGGATCCAAAGTCCGGAGCTTGGAGAGGCAACGTGAGCTCATGGGAGGCAAAGTCAGGCTGAGCATGTTGGGTCAAACAGCCGGCCCTTCTAGCTGCTCAGAGAAGGGCTGCCTTGCCTGGCAGGATGATCAAGGGAGAGATCTGCTCACCTGCCTTCCTCTGGGGCATTGACAGCTGCTGTGAGATGGGGCAGGTTCCTCAGCCTTGCTGCAGCGAAGTGCCAAGGAGGCTGTGAAAAGTGGGCCAGTCCCTAGTGGCAGGGGTGGCCTCTGTAAAGGCAGTGTCACGCCCTCTCTCCCACCTCACCCCCCAAAAAAGGGATGATAATCCATAGTCTCTTTGGCTTTGGGTCGCTAGGATTCCTGGCAGGTGCTTCTGGGACGGTGCTAGGCTGTGTGCAAAAATGTGCTGTGATGGAGAGTTAAGATGAGTTCCTGCTTGTGGCTCGAAGCTCCTTTTTGTCACCGGAGTTGGGGTGAATCTACTAGCATGTGACTCATTGGCAAACATCTGCTCCCGCGGATCGGGATGGGCTTGGCGGCTGTTGTACTTTGGCACTGAGAACAGCCTAGGGAAAGTGTTTTCCCAGAGGCGTGTGAGTCTCTAAATGAAGGGGAAACCGTATCTACCTGTGGCCAGCAGAAAATACAGTTAAATGATCTCCCCAGCGCAACCAGATGAATCTGAACTTGGCTCCTTTTTCCTTTAATTCCTTTTGCCTGTTAGTTTTAATAGGCTAATAATAGCAGGGTATGCTGTTTACAGCAGCTTATGTAAACCATCCTGGGTCTGCATAGCTTGAGAATGGCCTAAATGATGTTTGAAGGGTTAGACAGGAGCCTCGGTAGGCCAGTCACGTAAGTCAAGACAACTTTGTCTGTTGCTGAAGCTGCATGCTTGAAGGCTGAATTTTCCCCCCAAGATGCAGTGTGGCTGTACGTGCATCACGTTGTGTGTGCAAAGCAAATTAGATAGGGGAAATAGCCATGTCGGTTCCTAATTATCCATTTTGCCACTGGCATCCTTAAAAATCTGGCCCCAAATACTTAATATTGGTGTAATCTTCCCTTGTTCACTCTTTTCTAGCTAGAAATGCCCAGGACCCTATGTGCACGGTGGCAGCAAGCCATGACATGCCCGTGCTGCATGGTTCCATGCCTCAGAACCACAATGGCTGATACTTTTTGAGGGGTGCGACGGGAAGCAGAGCAATGTGGGAATGTTTCTCCCCCCCACCAAATCCAAGAGAGCATTGAGGGAGGGTTAAATCCGACCTTCCCAAACTCATGAGAATGCAGTGGGCCACAAATGCGCTAAAGCCATCATCTTCTGCACCACAAAGGGACAGGCCATGGAGAGACCATGCTTGGGAATTAGGAATCCCATGCATGCTACAGAGCAGTGCTCCTTGCCAGCACTCCCCACGGAGATATCGCTGGAAACACAAAAACCTAGTAACTTGCTGGCATGCTGCACTGGTAACTTGGGTGGCAGAGAGATGGCTAACCTCCTCCATCACAGAGACAGGAAGGAGGTGGACCTGAGTGTGTAACTCGTTTGATTTATTTGTTTTTTTTGTTTGTTTGTTTGTTTGTTTTTTAAGGTCTCTCCCCAAGAGATGGTGCAGGAGATCCACCAGGTGCTGATGGACAGAGAGGACACCTGCCACCGAACTTGCTTCTCTCTGCAGCTGGATGGGAACGTCCTGGATAACTTTGCTGAGCTGAAAACCATTGAAGGGCTGCAGGAGGGGTCGGTGCTGAAAGTGGTTGAAGGCACGTTCTATAAACTAGGGGGGCAGGGGAACAGTCTGAGTGATAGAAAATGAAACCCCTGGATTGTCTTTCTACAGATTTAGTGCCAGTGAGGACAAGGTACTTGATTGACGTCTCTGGAGATGGGGAGGGGCCTTCTCCATCCCCACTGCCACTTCCTCGCCTTAGCCCTCACTTGTCAGGACCAACCCCATGGCCCATTCAGTCCTAGGCCCCTCTGGTGACAGGCCACAAGAAAATCTCTTGTGGAGGTGGTTCTTGCAATGTGACCCCTTTCCATGGCTGGGGACTGGACTGAGATCAAACTCCTTTCATGCAGGCCACTGAGCTTCTGTCGGGTGGGGGATAACTTCCTGTTGCCACTAGTCTTTGCACCATTAGCCTACAGGTGAATGGCTAGGTAACCAGCAAACTACTCCTTCCCAGGTAGTATCCACAAAAGGTGAAGTTAATAATATAAAGCAAGTAAGGCCCTGGGAGGGCAGCCATTGCACAGTGCGGGGTGCTCCTGTATCCAGTGAGCTTTACCCATGCCAACTATACCAGGGGAAAATGCCATTTCATGGCTGCCCCCATACCTAGAGCAGAACACACCAGCAGAACAGTGAAGCGTCCAACGCCATGCTGGGTCATCTTTTAAGGAACCTGGTTATTGGAGTTTGGGCTTACGGGCTTTACTTGCTCCCCAAGAAAGCCCCGAAAGCTTACAGATTAGCTCAGGCGGCGTGCAAGACCTTCACGCCAGCAGAGGTGCCTTGTCATGCTGCAGCAACGAGCAAGTGGATGGTGATGTAAAATTGCCAGTTGCCGTTCGTGCTTGTAACGAGTCCCTCACTAAGGACAAGCAAGTGAGGCACAAGAACGGCTGTAAAATGAGGTGGGCGAAATTAATCCCTGGCTGAACTCCCTTGATATTAGCCGAGTGTATGTGTGTGTGGAGACCTTTGAGAGCCACAATGAGAGTAAACTGTTGTGACCCTGAGACTCTCTCTCCTTCTGATGATCAGAGCCCTACACGGTACGGGAAGCCAGGATACACGTGCGTCACATTCGGGACCTTCTGAAGAGCCTTGACCCATCAGATGCTTTCAATGGTGTGGACTGCAACTCGCTCTCGTTCCTGAGCGTCTTCACGGAAGGAGACCTAGGAGGTATGGGACAGAAGGCATCTCGGGTGTGACGAACCCGTCGGCTGCGGTAGAAAATGCAGCCGTTCCGCCATGCTGACTGTTTAATCGGTTAAAGCGCTTGGTTTAATTGATGGATGCCCCATATCAGTGGGGCCTAGGGTAAAACTCTCAACACTCCTTTCCTAATATAAATTATATATTGTTAGGTGGTAGAGAGAGATACTGTGGAGTCAGGAGTCCTGACTGCTCTTCCTGGCTCTGTCACTGGCTGCAGGCCACTTAATGTGTACTCTGCCTGTCTATATTAGGTGCTTATGTGGCTTAAATGACTGCAGTATGTGGGTGCCTCGTGCTTTAATGTGTTTATCCTCACGGGACATAGTTAGGTAGAGCAGTGCTATTCTCCCCATGGGGCAGGTGGGAACTGAAGCACAGAGAGATTAAGTGACTAGCCCAGCCTCACACAGGACGTTTGTGGTGGAGCGGGAATTGAACCCGGGTCTCCCAGAGCCCAGGCTAGTACTCTAACCCTTGGACTATCTTTCCTCTCTGGGATGGGTCTGTTTGCCCATCTGTAACGTGAAGGCCTGTTAACCCCTCAGGGCATAGTTGGACACTCTTTCCCAGGCTCTTACTTAAAGGTGTGCAGTGGGGAGAGTCCAAGGTGGGGGACTGCTTCTCTATTCAAACAGCGGCCAAGACTTTCAAAACCTGGTGCCCAAAGTTAGGATCCCAAGTCTGTATCTGGGTATCTGCATAAGCGACCTGAGTTTCAGAAGCGTGAAGCACCCAGCCACTCTCACTGAGTTGGGAAGCGTCTTAACGCAGGGACGTTGAGCTGCAGTTATATATGGGTGTGGCAGAATTTTTGATTTTTTTTAAAATAATTTTGACAGATAATATCAGTGTTAATTTTTTAAGCTTTTTTTATTATTTTATCAATCTTAAATGTTGACAGTTGCAAGAAATTACGGGGTGGTCAGACAATTTATTTAATGACAGTCGATGTTGAGATTCAAGAAGGTAAAGTTTTATAAGGGTTCAAACACAAATTTCACCATTATTATTGACGGAAACTTTGTTCCATTGGCTAGTGTGCGTACAGTGAAATGGATGTTCACTAATTAAAAATCTAATCCTTCCAAGGCTAGTTATATTCATACTGGGATGTTTTCACTCTTGAGAAGCGTACCGGAAAAGTGGATATTATTTCTGGATACACTAACGTACAAGACAGAGGTAACCTTTCAAAGGAGTGTAAAGGGGTTAGGTGCCAAAATCCTTTCAACAGTGCCCAGGATGACTTTCAGCAGAAGTTATAAATGTCTCCTTTAGGGCGCTTTGCAAACTCCAGCCTCGGTGCTTAATAAAAAACACTTATTGCTATAATGCTAATGTCAGGCTGGGAGAAGGGAGTAGCTGTCAGTTGTTTGCACGGTGGTCCTAGCTAAAGTGCAGTTCTGACAGACCAAATAGATGGGGTCAATTCTGGAGGGGGAATTCAAGCGATCGAATCCCACATGGAAATATTCTGCACTGCATACAGCCAGGCAGTCACTGTTCAGCATTGCTTTCCTGTCTGTTCATTTGTTTAGACAGTGGAAAACGGAAGAAGAAAGGTACTGAAATGGAACAAATTGACTGCACCCCTCCTGAACATATCCTGCCTGGTGGCAAAGAGAGACCCCTCTGTGCCCTCCAGCCCCAGAACAGAGAGTGGAAGGTAGAGTTCTCTTGCATCTTTGAAGATGGCCATCTGGGCCACTCTTGAAGGGACACATTCCGGGATTGAAAGTTACATTGAAATGACCTTTGGGACTTGCTCTGTTGAGTCCTGGACTGGTGGCTGAATCATTAGCACTGCTAGGCCACAGGCATAAAGTTCAAGGTCCAGTATTCTGCACACAGACTACACGGGATAGGTGGATCGCTTTATAACAGTGACCCATTGTCTTGAAAGGGTGGGGGGAGGAGGGGAGAGCTTCTGTTTCTAGCCCTTGCAAATTCTAGGATACTGGGGCTTCAAATTGCTTTAGTCTAGTTACACTGGTGCTTCCCATACCTTCCCATTTGGATTCCAACACCGCTTTAGCAGCTGCTGTTTTGAGAACCACTGCGTCAAGAAATCCATGCCTTCTACTGTCTAAAGCCATTGGGGATCTGCTCTTCAACTATGGACAAAGAGCAGTGCTCTGATGCTTGGGTGTGAGATGTAAAATATCACATGGGAAAGACTTGCAAAGTGTTTAGTTGGTGTATACTTTCAGGACCACTAACTTGGCAAGCAGTATTCCTGGGACCGGTGGGGGTGGGGGGTGTGAGAGAGGGAGAGAGAGAGCTTGGACATGGAAGTGTGTGCATTCTAGCCATGTGAAGTGTGTTCTGAAACGGGGGATCCACACTGATGGAAGCGCTTGTGTTGTGTGCTTCACAGCCTTTGCAGTGCCTAAAAGTCTTGACCATGAGTGGCTGGAACCCCCCACCTGGCAACCGGAAAATGCACGGAGACCTCATGTATCTGTACGTCATCACTGTGGAGGATCGACACGTTAGTATCACTGCGTCCACCCGAGGATTTTACCTGAATCAGTGAGTAAATATGACTCTTATCCTCTCCCCAAGCTAGCGAGTTTGCCTTAACTGGCTTAAAATGAAGTGTGTCTTTGTCTCAGTAGTGAGTAGCCTAATATAATCCTGCATTTATGCAAGATCCTAGGTGTTGCCATTCTGGATCGAGCTATTTGGTCAAGTCTGGTATCCTTCCTCAGCAGTAGATAAGTGCCTGATGCTTTAGAAGAAGGTAACACTTTCTGTTATGCTCCAAGCGAATTTTGCAGTGCTGTTTGAAATGGGAGGCAATTCCTTCCTGACCCCTGTGGTGACCATCTTATGCCTTGAAGCATATGTCTACCCCAGCCTTGCAAAATCTGGCAGTTGGCCAACCCAGGCATAGATTCTACTTGCCCAGCCTTTACCACGACTGTAGATGGTGTTAAATAATGAGGTCTGTGACTAGAGCTTCTAGGTGCTACGTTAATGCAAATAATAACTAAACTGATCGTGTTGCACTTGCTGTAGGTGAGTAGAATTTTGCAAGGCTAGCTAATCTCCTTGGCAAATATGATTGATGGGCTGGAAGATTGTAAGGTCCTAATTCATGGAAGAAACCATTGTCAAAAATAGAACCAAACCCCTTCGCTTAGGAAGAGAACATACATGTTGAGCCTGTCTGTGTCCTGCTCTCCTTCAGAGGGAGAGTGAGCCACTGAGACTAGTGAAAAGCCAGCTCACAGGAGAAATAATTGAAAAGAAGCTTTCATTGGTGCTCTGTAGCCAAAATCTGTCAAAATCTGTCAATCTGCAGGGTTGAGGCTAGGAAAGTAAAGGTTTAAGCATGTGCATAACTTAACTCTCGTGAGTAAAGTGTCTGATTTTAGGCCATGAGAATGCAGGTTTGGTTGCCCACAGTCAAAATGAACTACTCCTTATAAGGGTTTCCCAAAATGTGGCCCGCAGACCAATTGCTGGTGAATTGTGGCAAGATCTGGTTCACGTGGTCCTCGTGACTCCACCGTTTCAATTCTAACATTCCATTTCTTGTCTGGATATTCCATGAAAGAGCTATTTAAAAAGAGCAACTGCTGCTTGACCATGAGTGGATCTGGGAGGCAGGTCGTCCCGATTGAGAAGGGAGATGACTCTTAAGAGGTGGTCCATGTGCTCACAACACTGGAGAAGCCCCGCTCCGTGAAATCCACCCTTCGAGCTGGGAAGGGAAAAACATAACTCTGGTAGTGGCTAGACTGATTCTAGGCACATTTGCTGCCCCAGCTATCAGGATGCAGGCTCAAGGATGCTGATTGTGGTTTACGTGGAGGGAGTAGATAGCCCTCAAAGGAGCCTCTTACAGCCTATCTGACCAGTAGAGAACATGTCACAAAGGTCTCTGTTTTGCAAATCTTGTGGGGTTTTTTTTTTTCATCTTGAGCCATTTCATATGATGTGTAAATTAAAAGCTGCCGAAATGCTGCCACTTTATCTTGACAAGAGAGTGGTATTTTTATTTCTGCCATAACAGGAGCTTCTTTCTCTTTGCAGGTCGACTGCCTATAATTTTAATCCTAAACCTGCCAATCCCAGTTTTCTCAGTCATTCCCTGGTGGAACTCCTTAACCAGATCAGCCCGACCTTCAAAAGAAATTTCTCAGCTCTGCAGAAGAAACGGTAGCAGCAGTGTTTCCATGTTGAGCTGCCTTGGCTTTTCTGATTGGTTAAATTGTTTGGTGTGAGGCTCAGATATTTGGCTTGCTGTCTAGGGGATTGGATGGTGCTGTCTGTCTCATAAAGCCAGGTGTTGACTGTAACACTCCCTGCTTCATTCAGAGCTGGGGGATGCTTACTGGAAGTTAGATGAAACTTTGCATTTTTGTAGCAAGGATCTCCAAGCTTTTTACGAATCATTACAAATGGGATCTCTGTGAGGTAGGTAGTGAAATCCTCATTTCAGATGGGGAAGCTAAGGTGCAGAGCTGAAGTGATTTGCCCAGGGTTACTCAGCAAGTCAGTGAGAGAGGAACCCAGGAGTCCTGACACCTAATCCCATTGGCAGTTTTTTCAGAAACCGTTAGACCACCTTACATGAGCGCATGTAAACATATTGGCATGCATGTGATGTAACATTAGCTTCAGTATCTTCTCAGAGGCCTGCATTATGGCTGGAACTTATGGAGTTAAGTTCCTTGTCACTGCACTGATCAGGAATCTAATGTCTATGCCTGTGTACAAGGTTGGGATCCCGGGAATAAGTGGGAAAGGGACACCCCTTTTTCTCTTGGGGCCTTAACCTCCAGGAAAGGTGGGACTGGAGGAACAAATGCCCTCAGGAATCTGAGTGTTTGCATAACCTGGAGCAGATATCTTGTTATGATTGGTGTGCCTAGCCAGGCACCAAAGAGTTAATGTAAAGCTTTACTGAGCTCTGTAACAGTCCTTGATAGCCCTTATCAGTGGGCATTCTTGCATGGGCATAAAGAAATAAGACTAAAACCAGTGTAATATGAGGAAAAGTATCACAGGGTGATTTTGTTTAAAATAACTACTCTCCTGTTCATTACAAACCTGCAAACACACATGCATGTGAATTTCCTGTAATTCTGTAAAAAGGAAAGGAGTACTTGTGGCATCTTAGAGACTAACCAATTTATTTGAGCATAAGCTTTCGCGAGCTACAGCTCACTTCATCGAATGCATTCAGTGGAAAATACAGTGGGGAGATTTATATACATAGAGAACATGAAAAATGGGTGTTACCATACACACTGTATTTTCCACTGAATGCATCCGATGAAGTGAGCTGTAGCTCACGAAAGCTTATGCTCAAATAAATTGGTTAGTCTCTAAGGTGCCACAAGTCCTCCTTTTCTTTTTGCGAATACAGACTAACACAGCTGCTACTCAAACCTGTAATTCTATGTAACTTTTATTTTGTATTATTACATGCGCTAATTGTTTTATAACTTTGTCCTTGCAACAGGGACCCCCCTTACCTGGCTCCCAAACAAAACCTGTTGTTCTTTGCAGAGTCCACTTAATTAACTGCCTGGGCTCTGCAGGATAGCAATTGACAGGCACGTTATATGGCTTTCAAAAGTCTTGCATCTGGTCTCATTAGGGAGATAAGTGACCCTCTACAAAAGCTAGAAATTAGCCGTGGCCTGAAACCCACCACTGTGACTGTCTGGCCATTTAAAAAAAGTGATTAGTCTGTTGCCTGTTGAGCCAGAAATGAGTACAGATGGGATTCGGACACCTACTGAGAGCAGAGAAGCTACCCAACAGACCATTAGGTGATGCTTGCTTTTTCGCTTCACTGGTGGATACGCTGTGTTTTTGTAACAGTCCACGTGGGCCAGGGCTTAGCACAGGCATGATCCTAGCTCCAGTGTACAGAGCTAGAGTGAACTAACACAGCTGTAAGATTGGCATGGGGGGAGGTGTGACTGGAGAGCTTTCTCCAGACAAAGCTAGCTTGGTTCCAAGAACAAGACCTGAATAAAATGTACCAAGCCCAGTTTATTCTCCACGTTGCTGTTTGAGTTTTAAGTTCTAAAGATATGGCCAATTCCAGATCCGACGACACTTGTTGAGCTGGCTGTGGTCCCTTTATAGGGCTGATGTTGGCTCTTGTGGATGAGCTTTTGTTGGGGAGGAGGAGAATTCTTGTAGTGTTCGCCAAATCTAAAGTCCCCTTCAGTGGAAATAATCTGATAGCTGTGAACTCCTGCCTAGGGTTCAGAGGCATCCCTTTGAAAGGATAGCCACCCCCTTCCAGGTATATAGTTGGACGGCACCCCAGGCAGAGCACGCCATGGACTGCGTGAGGGCGGAAGATGCTTATACTTCAAGGCTGGGCTATGAAGAGCACATACCTGGACAGGTATATCTAGCTGCGCTCTGTACTGCTGTTGATGATGGTGATGATCCTCTTAGTGCCTGTCATAAAGAGAACTGAAAATTGCTTACCAAGGGATAACAACCTCCCAGTATCCATGTGAAGCAGGGGGAGAATTAACCTCCTCATCTTGCAGGTGGAGGGACTGAGGCACAAAGCAGCAAGTGTCCTGTGCAAGGTGTCTGTCAGAGCCAGGACTCCTGACAATCTAGCTGCCTTCTCCAACCACTAAATTTGCCTCCTGTCCTTCTACCTGGTAGAATTATCTTGCGGCTCAGATCATAATGTTGCTCTGCACATGGACCTCTCTTGAGAAGTATCTTTTGCAGCATGAGTGGGTTTTTTTGTTTTTGTTTTTTTGTTTAAGCCTGATCCTGCAAAGGCTTATATACCCATGTTCAACTTCACTCGCTGTGAGTAGTCCCACTGAAGTCAGTGAAACTACAAAATTAAGCTTCGGCAGAACTCCTTGCAGGATCAGGACCTAAATGACTGGCTAGTTCTCCTTCAAAAAATGGCTCTGAGCACTTCGCTTGAAACAGCCCTTAGGGGTTAGATCCTCAGAGCGTGATGGCGCTGGCCCTTAGAATGTTGAAAGTTCCTTGGGGTTGCAAAATATTGGTTCTCTGCCCATTTGTAATGTAATTAAATCTCCAATACGCTGGCTAATTAGTTCAGCATCGCATCGCATTAAACCCTTTGTTGATATTCCAGCTAAGCTGCACTGGGTAACTGGGACAATGCAAGATCCATCACAGCTTGCTGTTTAAATGAACTTTAGTTGTGAGCATGCTGCGGGTGAGGAATTTCCTTTTAAATGCCATGCAACTCTGACTTCATTTGTCTTTCTGATCTGGAGGGGGGGAATAGATACCCGCAAACTAGCGCGCGCAAACGCCCCTGTTTCACCTGAGGCTTGCCCCTTTCAGACCAGAGACTGGAATGAGGAGTTGCAAACCACACGAGAGCTACCCCGCAAGAATCTGCCAGAGAGGCTGCTGAGAGAACGAGCCATTTTCAAGGTAATCTTGGGGCGGGGGATTAGACAAAATTTGTAGGTAATCCATTCCCAGTCCAATTAGAGACCCACCCTGGGCTGAGTGAGCACTTCACTCGAGCTTTGTGGTTTAATCTTTATAAGCACATATGCTTTGCCTGAGGCTTCTAAGATGCAGGCCAGGAGCTTTGTCTTCATCTCTCCCCATCTCCCAAGCTGATGGGAGAGACTCATTCTCCTGATCTCCCTGCTCTGCTCGTGTTGCCAGCAATGATGCAGGCTCCTCCCAGCCCAGTGCTGCTGTTTCCTGCCACGCAACCTTGCTTTGACAGGGTTGGGGCAGGGGAGGCCTTCAGCAAATGGGGCCGGTCAGGGATTAGCTCCCGTCAGTCAGGTACCTTCCCACAGGAGCAGCCCAAGTGGCCAAGCTGAAGAAACTGGGGCCAGTCCAGAAGGTATTCAGTATCTAAGTATCGGCCAGACTCGCAAGGGTGAAAACCGCTATCCTGACCCCGTTGGCCCTGGATAATCGTGAGGTGGCGGCCGAGGGGATTTCGGGCGGAATAGAGGGCAGGTGCTGGGAAGTACATAGTCAGTGGGCAGCCTGCTCTCTTTACGCAGCTCTCTCCTGCCTTCACACTTCCCTTCCCCTACCAACGCACAGGTCCACAGTGACTTCACGGCGGCCGCTACCAGAGGAGCCATGGCCGTCATCGACGGCAACGTCATGGCCATCAATCCCAGCGAGGAGACCAAGATGCAGATGTTCATCTGGAACAACATTTTCTTCAGCCTGGGCTTCGACGTCCGCGACCACTACAAGGACTTCGGGGGGGACGTTGCCGCCTACGTGGCGCCCACCAACGACCTCAACGGGGTGCGGACCTATAACGCGGTGGACGTTGAGGGGTTGTACACGCTGGGGACCGTGGTGGTGGATTACCGGGGTTACCGGGTCACGGCCCAGTCCATCATTCCAGGGATTTTGGAGCGAGAGCAGGAGCAGAGCGTCATTTACGGGTCGATAGACTTCGGCAAGACAGTCGTCTCTCACCCCAAGTACCTGGAGCTGCTGGAGAAGACCAGCCGGCCCCTCAAGATCCAGAAGCACAAAGTGCTGAACGACAAGAACGAGGAGGTGGCGCTGTGCTCGTCCGTGGAGTGCAAAGGCATCCTTGGCAACGACGGGCGCCACTATATCCTCGACCTGCTCCGCACCTTCCCCCCCGACCTGAACTTTCTGCCGGTCGAAGGGGAGGAGATGCCGGAAGAATGTAAGAAAATGGGATTCCCCAAACAGCACAGGCACAAGCTTTGCTGTCTCAGGCAGGAGCTGGTGGACGCCTTTGTAGAGCACAGGTGAGCTGAGCAGGGTTTCTGCCCCCCCCTCCCCCCCCCAAATCTTTCCCTGCTGGAGAACATCAGCCTCGGCCGGGGTGCGTGCGGCATCGTTCCAGAGATGCTGCAGGCGGCTGCGTCTCACAAAACTTCCGTTCGTGTGCAGCTAATATTTCCCCCTTCAGACGCTCACTGAGCCCTTTGGAGGCAGGAAAGGGTTATTATGTACATACAGGGATCACGGCAACCACCCTCTAGGGCGGACCGTAGCAGCCGCGCGATGCTGCATGCTGGTTACATGGGGGAACGAACGAAAGCACCGTATCCCGTGGCCGCTGCAAGAGGCTGGGAACTACCTGAGCTGCCACGTGACACGAAGGTTAACTCTCTGCCTTCTGCCCGGCCGCCGTAGGGTGGTCAGGATCTAGATTTCCCTCGCCGTCTCTAACCGGGCGGCCTCTTGCTGCGGTGAGACGCTGCTTCAGTGCTGACTCCAGGAGCAACATCACCAGCCCCACTTCCTGCTGCAGCGAGGTGTTCCCTTGCGGGCTGCCCCGTCCTTACGTGCTCGGCTGCAGCCCTGCCAGGCCAGCAGCCCGGGGCTGGCCTGATTGCAGGGTCCTGCCACTCGTTGACCCATGTACAGTAGGTAAAACCCCATCTGTTAAGGTCTTGGATACGGGCTACTGCTGTTCTTTTAGCAACCCTGTGCTCCTGGACCTTCTGATCTCAGAAGTGGGAGATAAAGAGGGTCCCCATGGCTATATTCTGTGGCGAGTGGCAGAAAGCAATGTACCGACTGCGGGGAGTTAATTTCTCAGCATGATGGGCTAATGAACAGTGCAGCGGCCCTATCCCCAGTAGCAAATGCGCCTGACCAGTGGGCCAATGTCCTGTCAGGGGTCAAGTGTCGTACTGCTCCGCTGGACTATGACATGCCCTTGCAGGGTTCAGATGGGCCATCTTTAGCCCCTGTGATCTTATGCCTCGTAGGGAAAGAACAAGCCTTTTGGAGTATCCTCTAGTCTGGTTGTCTCACTCATTGGGGTTATTTTGCTGAATGCTGCATTCTGTTCGATCTCTCCGTTCCTGTCCTGTAGATATCTCTTATTCATGAAACTGGCTGCTCTGCAGCTGATGCAGCAGAAGGCCAACAAGCAGGAGAACTCGGGCGTGCTGGAAAACGGGGCTTCCGTAGAGAACGGAACAGGGGGAAGCGAGAAATCGGAATCGGATGATGGTAAAATAGAGGATAACGTGACTGGATTAGATCAGGTTAAAGAGCTGGCAGAGACCATTGCATCTGACGATGGAACAGGTACCCACTCCTCACGCACCAACAATGGCCCACGCTTTTCCCGGTAGCTTTTGGATTGGGTCACTGATCAGAACGGCTCCAAGTTGGTGGGTCACAATAAATGACTGTGTGCCGTCGCTCAGACCGGAGCGCCCTGCCTTCCCCCATACTAGCACTTGAGTATTTACCTGGCACTGTTCGCACACTAGCAAATTAACCCTCATGGCATGCCTGGGCAGGGATTAGAAACCCTGAAACACAATGGGACTCTGTCAGTGCTGGGATTGGAATGTGGGAATCTCTGGTCTTTGCCCTGTTCAGTCCACTAGACTGCCTCATGCCCTTTCCCGGCCACTCAACATACGAGAGAGACCAGGTGGGGAGGTAATATCTTTTGTTGGACCAACTTCTGTTGGTGAGAGAGAGAGAGAGAAGCTTTCGAGCTTGAGCTTTTCTTCAGGTCTGGGAAAGGTACTCACAAGTGTCACAGCTAAATACAAGAGTGAACAGAGAGCTCGGCATAAGTAGGCTCCCAACATGCTGAAAACACCGTCGCTCTCGTTCGGAAGCTCTTTGCCATGGCTGTTGTGCATGTGGGTGGGTATTTTCAAAGGGGCTTTGGGGGAGGGGCTCCTGAATCCCATCCAAAATTAATAGGAATTGTGCCCCCAACTGAAAGTCCCAGAATTACTATTTCTTTGCATGGAGAGATGCCCTCTCCCTACTGTACTCTATGCCCTTGTCTGAGTTTTGTGGTCTGTAGCTGTACCCCAAACAGTATTGCACTGCCAAATGCTTTACAGTGGCCTCTTGCAGAGCAATGCAGCAACATCACTCCTCCATAATAAAACTGGCCTCTTGCTTTAATGTCTGCTGTTGGCTGTCTTTAGAATCTGCATGACTTTTTTCTAACTCTTTACCAAGTCTGTTTGTCTCCTCTCTTACTCAGTGGATCCCAAAAGCAGAGAGGTGATTCAAAATGCCTGCAAAGCCGTGGGCTCCATCAGCGACACGTCCTTTGACATTCGGTTTAACCCGGATATCTTCTCACCAGGTAGGGGCTCGAAGAGATGGCCTTGAAACTGTTCGGCATATAGCGTGGACTCCCTTTCTGCTCTTGCTAATAGTCACAGGGCCTGGGGCAGAGCTCTCCACGCTGCGCAGAAAGATGTGACGTAATTGTCTGTAATGCTTGAGCTACCATGTGTAGGCACTGAGCTGCCTCCCCTGAGTAGTCCATAAACACTTGCTAGTGGTCTGGAGAGTGCTGGCCTGGCACATGGAGCTGGCTCTCCATCATCCCAGCTGCTAGACCACATTAATAGAGGTGGAAAAACACATTAAACGCTATCCTGATATTGTCCATGTAAACAACTGCTGTGGCTGGCATTAGATTTGCTGCAGCCCGGGGCTGAAGCCGGAACCAGAGGGCTTCAGCCCTGGGCAGCAGGACTCTGGTTACAGCCACACGCACCATCACCCCTGTGACCGGAGCTTTAGTCCCCCTTCCTGGGGTCGTGCAGTAACTTTTGTTGTCGGAAGCAAGTTGCAGTGCAGTGAAGTTTGAGAGCCTCTGCTCTGGCAGATCACAAACCAAACCTGCCTGACCCGCTGTAAGCTGATCACAGCTTGTCTGTATGAGTCAGGATCCTCGGGTATGTCTGTTGGTGACTAAATTAGAGGTTAGATGCTGGAAACGTTTCCTCCATGCGGTATTTTCTCTTTGGGGGTGAGTGTCCTATCCCCATGGCCTGACACGGGCTGCGCACGCACGGTCAGAAGCAGCAGGATTTGACCCTGTATCTTGGCCTGGATATAAATGCAGTAGAAGCCATGTTCAGCGGAAATCCACAAGCACATTTTTAATGCTGATGGTGAAGACAGGGCTGGTGCTGACTCTGCATGGGACGGCCGCTTAAAGGAGGTTATTTTAACCCAAGTCCATCTGATGGAAGGACTTAAGGAGCTTCTAGTGCTTGCAGAATTTGTCGATCTTTCTGACAAAACATGCCCTCTCTCATTTCATTGGCTGTAAGCGTGCACGGCACTTTGGAATGTGGTAGACAAAGACAAGAGTGAGCGGGTGCAGAACGGAGCAAAGCAGCCTGTAACAGACCCCGCCTGGGTCATGGTTATGCCAGCTGGCATGCTCTGCAGAATTGATAGGTCTTAAAGAGCATCTTTATAGCGGGAAAGGGCAAAGCACCCTCTGTTTACTGCCCCCTGCTCTTGTATGTATATTTTGTGAATTAAGGTTTTAGTCTGTCCTTCCGTTTCTCAGCTCTTCAATTTCCCTCCTAGGTGTTCGTTTCCCTGAGTCCAGCAAAGAGGAAATGCAGGATCAGAAGCAGTTGTTAAAGGATGCTGCTGCTTTCTTACTGTCATGCCAAATCCCAGGCTTGGTAAGGCACTGGGAGTTGTGCTGATCTCCTCCATCAAATCTGGCCAGTCAGTGCAGCTATTTCTCATCTTAAACAATGGTTGGATTCTGGTGCTGGCAAATGGAAGTTGTGAAGTACAAAGAACAATATAAACATCTCTGGTGGTGTAAGGAGAAGAGGGGTTTCCTCTTTCACGTCCCCTAGTTTAGAAGGGAAAATGTGCCACGGAACAAAGAACTTGATCAACAGTATTATAAACCTTTAGTAAGAGATGGAGCCAATAAATGCCATAAGGCTGACAGAGCCCTGCAAGTCACTCAGTCTGACCCTTAGCATCCTGGATATATTACTGTTTAATCTAGCCCACTTTGAATCTGCTGGTGACTAGATTCCCTTGGGAAGTCCATCAGTTGCCCTTAACTGTTAAATATTTTCCTTATGTGTAGCTTAAATTCCTCGCATCATAAATTTCACCCTACTACCATTTTCTGAAGCTGTAAAATAATCTTTCTTCAGTTATAGTATCCTGGAAATTGCAAATGAAACAGACCTATTGGATCACCCCAATCACTGTTCCAGCCAGTGCAGGGGATTGTTTCCTTGGCGTGGCACTGACCACATCATGTCTGCAGACAGGAACTTCTGAATATGAACTCAATGTGGTAGAGAAAAAGCTATGTAAATGCAATGCTAAGATGCACTACAAAATACACAGTAATCTCAAAATGCAACAGTGAAAATATTCTCTGCATGCTCCCCCGCACGCTGACCCTGCATGTATTGATGGTGACTTAAAAAACAACAATCCCACAACCCAACAACAACCAACCGGATTTGTCCCCTATTTCTTTTTGCTAGAAATGAAAGGCCTATGGAGAGGGTTCTTGATTTTTTTTTTTTAAGAAGTCTTTCTAATTTTTAGTGTAAGAAATATCTGAAATGACAAGTCTGCTGTTTCCTGAAGGCTTTGTGGGGGGCAGATACTTGTGTGGGTGGTGTGCAATCATGTGCTATAACTGAAGGGTAGAGCTGGTGAATCTTCAAAGCTCTCTTTTCTCCAAAGTGCTCGTCAGTGACTGGAGTTGACTAAGGCGAATGAAAATCTCTTCCTGTATCAATTGCTTGGCTTTCACATGCTTCTGATGTCCTCATTTCACTGATTCAGTATTCGTCAGAACTCTCAACGCCCAAAACTCAAATCTTAAAAATGAAAAAGAAAAAACCCTGACAAAAATCAACCCTTTGCCCTTATACCAGAGTAAAATAATAAAAAAAGGGCACGAGCTCAATTTTTTTTCTTTGTCGAATAGTTAGTCTACAATGAGCAGCATAACTAGGGATCAAAAATACTATACAACTCTGTGCGTGCGCGTGACCTAGGTGACAGACCTGTGTAGAGCTGCTATGTAGACACCTCCCACCCATTCTCAATATGTGACGGTAACTTGCATAAATGTATTTAAAACTCAAGGGGACACATTTACATTTGCTCATTGTTCATTGTACTTCACAACTTCCATTTGCCAGCGCTAGAAACCCGTATCTCTGCCCCCGCCCGGGGCCAACCGTACTTCATTTTTTTGTCCAGTCCCTTGTGATTTGTAGCGCGCATGGGAAATGTGGTGGTCTCCCTTCCTGGCTACTGAAGGAAAACTCTCTCTCGTTTCTCCCTGTTCCTCAGTTGGTAGGTTCACACTTGCAGGAGGCTGGTTAAACAGCTCCTGGCCAGGTGCTTTTGCACAGCATTCCCTGATACAGCCATGCTCCTCCAGCCATGGGCAGGCATGGTCTGTGTCTGGATTCCAGGCAGAGGAAGGGAGGACGCTTATCAGATGTGTGGAGCTCCTGAGAATCCTGTTTGGGGCAAGGGTTCCTAGGAGCCCCAGTCAAGAATCAGGGTCCTACACGCTACACCCCCCACCCCAAAAAGATCATTGCTCTGTCTGAAACATAGAGCCCAGTCTGAGAAAGGGACCAGATTTTCAGAGGGGCTCAGCCCCCATTGAGGACCACGAGAGCTAGCGGGTGCTGGGCACTTTTGAACACCTGGCTCTGAGTGTCCCCTTTCTGGCCAGTGGCTCCTTTCCCCTAAGCTCCATGTGCTCTGCAGGTGAAAGACTGCCTGGACCACACCGTGCTCCCGATGGACGGCGCTACGTTAGCAGAGGCCATGCACCAGAGGGGCATCAACATGCGCTACCTAGGCAAAGTCGTCAACTTCATCGCCAAGACCCCCGCCTGCCCACAGCTGGATCACATCTACGTAAGCGTCGGGTTTCGTTTCTGATTGTGCCACTGGGATAATGGGGGCCTGGCCACATTCCAACTCGGCTAATTGCATTCTGTCAACCTCTGTGTAAAAACAAACAGCCAGGCTTTGACACCGTGTGAAAAAGCCTTTGATTGCAGGGGGTGGAAGGTATTACTCCCGTATTCCTGTTTTCATTATGGTTAGGGAGGATAGGTGCCCTGAGGGACCGTAAAACACTTTGGGGTAAAAGGCATTGCCGATTGGTCCAGGAGAGCCTGTGTTTTTCGGGCCATGCAATGTCCCCCAGGGGCCCTGGATCGAATAGGAAGGATGTTGCTTGTGATTGGTCAGGAGGTTACGCTGGGGCCTGATTCTGCCACCCTGGCTCACATTGAGTAGTGAGTATATTGCTCCAGGAATGTCCATTGGATTGGGGCCCTACATACTACCCTCCCGTCCTGAACAAAGAGTTCCCTGCCTCCAAGAGTTTACAGTGTAATTTGCAAAGTGGGGTACAACTCTGCAGTAGTAACAATCACAGAATTGGGCCCTTTGTCAATATGGATCAAAATACATCTAAAAGCAAAGTGTGTGTGTGTGTGTTTTCCCTCTATTGACTAATTTTCTTAGTCCCTGCTCTTTATTCCTTTGGGTAGAAAATTGGAATCAGCGAATTGATCACTCGATCAGCCAAACACATCTTCAAGACATACCTTCAGGTACGAGCGGCTGTCTAAACTCTTGCCATGTGATGTTCTCGTTAATGGTTTTTCAGAAATAGAAGCTGTTTAAATCTGTTTTCTCATTAGCTAGTTCGTGGATGTTGCTTAGCAACTGGAAGTAAAATCTCATTAGGCCTAATATAGGTAGAGACCTGGTACAAGAGAAAACAAGTTCCCACTTGAAGGAAGCACTCCCAGAGGATTATCATTCCACGCTTTTCTGCCCCAGAATTTCACTGATTACACTGAAGGTTTTTAAGAGTGAAATCACAGCTTGTCTTGCTTGTAAAACACTTACTCTGCTTAAGCAAACTGTAGTGCTTTTGACCTCCAAAGATGCTTGTTTATTACATGAATGCATTGTTCCAGAAGCAAAGAAATCTATGCTATAAGAATTCCACATTATAATCTCCAGATCCGCAGTAATTGTTCATTCTCGCCAGTCCCACCCCTTTCAAAGTTTTATAGAAACTGTGCATGACTTTTTGTGTGGCACTTCACGCATGTTTGTTCTGTTGCTCTGAGACGCACCATCCTGGCAGACCTTCCCTCTGTCTCTGCCGGGCGAGGATATTTGCCACACAGATGGGATTGGATTTCCGTTAGAGTTGGATCAGATTGATGCATGTGTAACACAAAAGGTTCCACAACTGACATCAGTATCTTGCTGCAGGGCGTGGAACTGTCTGGCTTATCGGCAGCCATCAGTCACTTCCTCAATTGCTTCCTAAGCTCCTTCCTAAATCCAGTTGCCCATCTCCCTGCTGATGAGCTGGTCTCCAAAAAGAAGAATAAGAAAAGGAAAAACAGGAACCTTGGGAATGCTGATAACACTGCCTGGGCCAGCATGACCCCTCAGGAGCTTTGGAAGAATATTTGTTCCGAGGCAAAGAACTACTTTGATTTTCATCTTGAATGGTAAGTAGAATGATTTATCTTTACTTCCCCTTCCTTTTGCCAGATTTCTCTTCCTCCAAATGGCAGTAGCTTTATTGTGAAGGGTGCCTGTATTGTTTATAATATCCCTTAAGCTTTGGAATCAGCTTTTAAAAAGGTTTAAGTAGCAGATGGGGAGAAACCGAGGCCGGGTGGGTGTTTGAATTAGGATTACAGGTGAAATTTTAAATGAGATCAAATTCACGAGGCAGCGATATCTCAGAAGGTTGATTCAGATGGCACAAGCTGCAGAGGAGATAGCGTGAAGGATAGAGGCAGGGACAAAGAATCCAGCCTGAGACGAGCAGAGGGAGAGAGGGGAGTAGAGATTTCATAGTCATGAGTTAGGCAGGTGTGAAATCTGTGGATGTTCCTAAAACAAAGACAGATCTTAGCCAGACTCTGAAATGAAGAGGTTGCTGGTGATATAAGACGAGTAAAACACTTAACGGACATTTTTCAGAGTAGCAGCCGGGTTAGTCTGTATTCGCAAAAAGAAAAGGAGGACTTGTGGCACCTTAGAGACTAACCAGTTTATTTGAGCATAAGCTTTCGTGAGCTACCGCTCACTTCATCGGACGCCATCCGATGAAGTGAGCTGTAGCTCACGAAAGCTTATGCTCAAATAAATTGGTTAGTCTCTAAGGTGCCACAAGTCCTCCTTTTCTTTTAACGGACATTATGAATCAATAAAAGCTGTTTTCAAAACAAAATCCCGACACACAAGATTTAAGTCCTAATTAGATGGTTGAATTCACGGTTATCTCTCGGGCATCAGAGAAACTGAAGATTTTACTGCAAATAAGGAAAAGGCTGAATCAAGCAGCCCTATTGCTAAAGCTTAAGGCAGGGGAAGGGAAGAGATGCACGTAGGACTGACGTAAACGAGCTCCTTGCTTGCTGATGTTTGGCTGCACCTTCTTTGTTGCTTAGCTCCTAACTATACCGGGAGGAGTACTTCAGGCACGCCCTAGGTGGATACTCTTGAGTATAAACTTACCCTAAGATCTTGCCTCGCTTTTTTTGCAGTGAGAATGTTGACCAAGCAGCAGAGGTGTGCAACCTCCAGAAAATCACCCTCCTACGTGAGATCTCCCTCAAAACTGGAATCCAGGTAAGAGCCAAGTCCTCCGGCTTTCTTTCATCACTTTCTCCAATGGGGAAATTCACTAAGAGGGGGGATTTGTTGATTCAGATCACAAGGTCTTTCAAAAGAGGATTCCCACCCCTGGCCCTTCACTCCTCCCCACAGATTTAGTGCTGAAATGCCAGTTCTAACCCCACAAAGGGATTTTATTTAGTTGCGTTAAGGGTAAACCTGCTATATGTAAGAAGATTGGTCTGCTCCAGTCTGATAAGTCCTTAGGCCTGTCTGTGGTGCTGGCCAAATGGCCCTGCACAGTATGAAGTGAAACTGCTGCTGTTAGGGGGAATAGGGTCAACTGCTGTCTTACAAAGCAGGACGATGCTGTCCTCCTTACCGAAAACAAATGGCTCCCGTTTTTAGATTTTGTGCCAAGATTCAGCTCGGATGGCACCTGACTGTAGGCTATAAATCCCTGCACATCAGGGTTCATAATGCAAGTGCTGGCACAACCCAGAGCTCAGCCTCTCCGGGGTGCCGCGACAACAAAACAGGGATCTGTTTGCTGCAGGGGTTTAATACAGGCAAATGTTGAGTCGTCCTTCCATGACAGACCTCCACTGTGGCCCTCTTTCAAGACACTGCCCCACATCTTCATACATAAACCAACGTAAAAACAAAATCCAAAGGGCAGCTAGCAGTGGTGTGCATTCACACTTCCCCTGATTCTTCTGTCTGTCTGTGACCTGGCAGCCAAAGCTGCTGGGCTGTCCTGGGAGGCCTGATTCTCTCCTCAATTACACCCAGGTAGCCCCTTTTGGACTTCAGCGGGGGTCACACAAGTGCCACTGAGGGTAACGTTGGCCCCAGGTGTCCATGAAGGGCGTTGGGAGGGCCGCACAAAAGGAGGAAAGGAGCTGAAAGATGTTGGCTTTGGTTTTTGGTTCCTTCAGATCCTGTTGAAAGAGTATAACTTCGATAACCGGCACAAACCCACCTTCACAGAGGAGGATATTCTCAACATCTTCCCGGTCGTGAAGCACGTAAACCCCAAAGCTTCGGATGCTTTCCACTTCTTCCAGAGCGGGCAAGCGAAGGTCCAGCAAGGTACGTGCTGCCTCTTCCCTTTGGGTTAGTGCTGATGAACACTGCTTTGTACCCTGGCCTTGCCTAGCCATAGTGCAGACGCTGCACAGCATGGTAGGCTACCCTGTGTCGATCACTGCACCTAAACTCTGTTCTAGGGGGCCCCCTCTATGGCAGGGGTGGGTAAACTCTTTGGCCCGAGGGCAACGTCGGGGTTCCAAAACTGTATATGGAGGGCCGGGTAGGGAGGGTTGTGCCTCCCCTGACTGCCCCCCTCAGAACCCGTGACCCATCCAACACCTCCTGCTCCTTGTCCCCTGACCGCCCCCTCCCAGGACCCGCTGCCCCTGTCCACACCCCCGCCCCCTGTCAGGCCCCCCAGGACTCCCACGCCTATCAACTCCCCCCTGCTCCCTGTCCCCTGACCACCCCCCTCCTGGGATCCCCCTGTCCCCTGACCACCCCCCTCCTGGGATCCCCCCGCCCCTGACAGGCCCCTCGGTACTCCCATGCCTATCCAACCCCCCCCCCCCTTCACAGACTCTGCTTATTCTTCCTGTGGTATTAGGAGTTATGATTTCCCATTGCTTGTGGGTAATACGGTAACTCAGGGGATTCAGCAAAGGAAGTTCCCCAGCCTTCTCTCTGCTCTATAGTTACAGGAAAAGGAAATCAAGGTCCTAGGTTAACACTTAATAAGAACTAATTTCCTCTGGGTTTTTGTAGGTTTCTTGAAGGAGGGCTGTGAACTCATCAATGAAGCCTTAAACTTGTTTAACAACGTGTACGGTGCGATGCACGTGGAAATCTGTGCCTGCCTTCGGCTGCTGGCTCGCCTCAACTATATCATGGGAGACTACTCAGAGGTACTCGGAGCCCCCCTGCCGCTTCCCTAAGAAATCTCCTGGTTGGTCAGCAGTTACTGTCTTCTCCCCCTCCCGCTCTGCCCTTTGTGCCTTCAGATTAACGACTCCTGTGATAACTGCAGAATGAGCAGTATAGTTGAGCTGAGAAGTGGATGTGAGAACAGGCCTGGGGCCAGGTCTCCTGGGTTCTCATTCCAGTCTCCTCTCTGGCCACTTACACCTGTCTGTTTTCCTGTGTCTGGAACGGGTAGAACACCCGTTTCCCTACTGCATATGGGTGCCTTATGAGTTTTTTAGCCTCTCTTGGAAAAGCAGTTACCTAAGCATTAAATTTGATTTAAGGAAACAAAATCATTTGCTTCAGTGGGTTTCCCCTTTCTCCATTTATGGCTATCTTAGCTGGCTAGCCCAAGGGCCATGTGGCCAGCACTCTGTAGCTTTCACCACTGTACAGGTGGGCATCCTGATGAGAATTCCACTTGGATTCTGTTACCTTGCCCATAGTCCTCGCTGGAGGTCATTGGTTTCTCCTTGTCTCCTATTGAAGGCTCTCTTATCTGGTACACAGAACATGTGTCCTCCTCTCCAGCAGTGACCTGCTTGCTGGCTCATTTGGGCTGAGGGGTGCTGGGATTACCAGCCCTTCAGGCTTTGGCTATCAGAGTGCACCCCAGGAACAGAGAATAGCATATCCTCTGACTCCCAATGGAAATGAAATCTGGGTCTCCCACTTGCCCAGGCAGAAGAGTTGCCAAGAGGCAAACCTACCTGTGCCCTGGTACAACTCACCCAGACTTCTCACTGAGTCGCTAGAAGGCATTTCTCTTGCTGAAGTCCAAAAATGAATGGAAATTGTCGCTGAGTGTCCTCCGTTTTTTGAGAGAGAGAGGCTGGAAACCAAGATACCTTCCTCTCGCCAGTTCCCACCCAAGTATCTCTTGAAACATATGCCTCAGAATTTGCTACATCCTCCTGTTTGTCATTCTTTCGTAGGCCTTAAGTAATCAACAGAAAGCAGTGTTAATGAGTGAGAGGGTCCTGGGCATTGAGCATCCCAACACAATCCAAGAATATGTGAGTATAAAGAGAAAACAGTGAATGTCGTGTTCGCATCTGGTGTCTGTGCGACTTCAGTTTATGCCCACATTTGCAAGACAGCTGCAGCCTCCTTAACTTTGTAAAACAGTCTCTTGGTAAACCTGTTCTTCCCATGCTGCACGCTTTCTTGGGGGCGTTTCTTTTCTTTAGGCCTCTTATTACTAGGAACAAGATGTGTGGAAAAGTGGGTCTCTGTTTGCTCAGGGGCGTCATTGAATCGTAAGAGTTAAAAGTGAAAAGCAGGCCCTTAAGCTAATACTTTATATACACCAAAAAAACCCCACTTATAGCCATCACGGGAAGAGAGAGATTGAAATGGATTCTCCCAGCTAACCTCACGCTGTCAGTTTGGCCTTGTCGTTCTGTAGAAGGCGGTATTCAAAGTTTCTCTCCAAAGTTTTGTGGAGTTTTTTGCAGCCCCCCAGGCCCCTTCTCATGATCCCAATTTTGAAAATTCTGTGTAACGGCTGGGATAGTATACATGCAGGTCAACTTTGAAGTATCTTCTGAAGCTACTAGGAGATACTGACAGCTATATATTAACACAACCATGTCTTGCCACTATATTTCACACGGCACATCAGGCTTCTTTAGGTTGACTAGTGGATGAGTAACTTTCCAATGGTTATAACCTGAATTATTTTTATTCTTCAAGGCAGTGCTTTTCTCAGTGCCCCAGACAAGGGGGGGGGCAGGTGGGAGGGAGATGAGTTTCTGTACTGAGGATGTGATGCCCCATTTTTAACCTTTGAATGTTTCTTATGCTGTAGATGCACCTTGCTTTGTATTGCTTTGCCAACAGCCAACTCTCCACAGCATTAAACCTTCTGTACCGCGCACGCTACCTCATGCTGTTGGTATTTGGAGAGGACCACCCAGAAATGGCACTCTTAGACGTAAGTGATCCTTCTGAGTAAACTCCTTGTCCAGGCTCTGTGAAGCTTGTTCACTTATTTTAATCCCGTCAATAGGCAATGTCTCTCCATCCCTTCCCACGGTGGTTATTGCCCCTCCTGTCCCATGACTCCTCCTTTCCCATGATCTTTGCATCTGCAAGCTTGCAGATGCATAGATAGTAGCTCTGTAAAGAGGAAGGGTGGTCTTGTGGCTAAGGCACTGGACCGGGACTCGGGAGATGTGGGGTCAGTTCCCAGTTCTGCCCTAGACTTCCTGTGTTACCTTGGGTAAGTCACTTAACCTGCCTGTACCTCAGTTCCGTGTACGTAAAATGAGGATACTTCCTTTCTCATCCCCTCTGTTTGCCTTGCTCAGAGCTCTTTGGAGGAAAGTTTGTCTCTAGTTATGTGCGCACAGTGCCTAGTGCAATGGGCCCCTGATCTCTGTGGGGTCCTCTACAAAGAGCTAATAAAAATAACAGGCCCACAAACTTCTCTGTGTCTTCAGCTCGAAAGGCTTGGTTGGGAGTCACCTCTTGTTCTCTGACCTGTGAACTCCCTCTTGATCTCTGACCTGTGTGTGGTGATTGCCCTTAGAACAACATTGGTTTGGTGCTTCACGGAGTTATGGAATACGACCTGTCCCTCAGATTCCTGGAGAATGCTCTGGCGATCAACTCCAAGTATCACGGCTCCAAGTCTCTGAAGGTTGCACTGAGGTACGGTGCCTCGGTCTGGGGAAATGGGTTGAAGTTTGTTTGGGGGTATGACGCTGTATAGGAAAGTTGGACTGTGAATCTACCCTCATCGTATCTGGGATTGGGCCTCGCTCTGGCTTATGAGTGCTGTCCCTGGTCAGCTGTGTGCAAGCCTCCATTCTTTCATGTTCCTTCCCCCAACCATTTATATGAGCTTGACCACCCAGTTCAGTTGGAAGGTAGCGATGCTTGATTCGGCTGAGTCTGGCATAGCTGCTTCGAAAGGTTGAGAATCGGGGTCTAGAATTATTTACATGTAGGATCTACCACAATACAATGTGCTAGGTGTTGTCCACAAACACCGTAAGATGATCCCTGCTTCCTGTGTAAGAATAGAAAGAGTAAGTGAAGGCTGGGAGGAGAGGGATAAATATCATCAGTACATCTGGGGACTGAGATGATGGAAAGCACCTGGTTGTTGGTTCTTGCTGAAATAGCCTGGAGACACAGGGATCATTTGCATTTTTCTTTCACTGTTAAGGGCTTGATCCTTGACGTGGCTCTTTGTGACTCCACTGGGAGTTGAGAGCACTCGGCACCTCTTAGGATCAGATCTTAAACTCCTTGGGTAAATACCCATTGCTACAGACCTCTCCCTTGGAAAAACTGGCCGGTGTGCATTGTCCCACTCGGAATTGCCACCCCCACGCTGCAGCCATCTGTGCTTCGTCAGGGTAAAGAGAAATCTTCTGAAGCACCCCCACGAGTCTGATTTTGTTTTCCAACTGATGGATACAAATTCTACAGAGAACATTTTCCTGCATGCCTCCATAGGGCTAGGATGTGTGTTGAGATCCAGAACCTCCCTTAGAATAACGAAGCCAAACATAGAAAGCTTTTTCCATTCCAAGAACATTCGAGCTGCTGAGACCAAGCCAGGGTGACTCTTCCCAACTGGAGAACAACCAGGTGATTTGGATCGGCGGCTCTCGCTGTTGCTGCCAGTGGTGTCTTTATTTTAAGATTCTGACTCCGGGCTGGCTAATCAAGAGATTCACATGTTCGCTTTCCAAGAAAACAAAATACCCTTTTAGAAAGGGAAGGCCCCTGGGTTGCTTCGTCTCACTGTAATTACCTGCCTGGGAGAGAAGCCTAGCCAATTAGATATTCTCATGGCCTTCAGCATTATCTGGAAGTGCTGAGCACATAACATACAGCTGGCATTTTAAAATGTCCTGGACAGAAAATAAACTTCTTGTTCCCAAGCAGTAGAAAGTGACCAAAAAATTAACATCTCAAGTCCAGTCTGAGGTGACTTTTCTTCTCTGGCTGGAGTGATGAGGAGATGGTCTATTTTTGCTAGGTTTTAGGTGTAATTTCCTAATCTAGGATGGCATAAGTCTGAAGAGTTAACCAGAGAGAAGGTAACTACTAACACCCTGTACTGAGAGTCAAATATCTGGCTGCAGCCTCCTTTGACCCTGGTCATCCCTTGAGCTGAGATGGTGAGGTGGCAGCAGGTTTAAAACAAACAAAAGGAAGTACTTGTTCACACAATGCACAGTCAACCTGTGGAACTCCTTGCCAGGGGATGATGTGAAGGTGAAAACTTAAAAAAAATATATATATATAGTCATGGTGGATAGATCCATTAATGGCTATTAGCCAAGATGGTCAGGGATGCAACCCCATGCTCTAGGTGTCCTTAAGCTTTACTGCCAGATGCTGGGACTGGATGACAGGATGGATCACTTGACGATTGCCTTGTTCTGTTAATTCCTTGCAGCATCTGGCATTGGTCACAGGGTTGGGCTAGATGGACCATTGATCTGACCAGTATGACCGTTCTTATGTTCTTAGCACTGAGCATTGCCTGCACCTCTTTGCAGCACAGAAGAACTCTTTCTCCCTTGATTTGACCATGTGTTCATTAAATCTAGCTCCGCGTTTCTTCTTTTCCATTGCAGCCATCACTTGGTAGCCCGAGTGTACGAGAGTAAAGCAGAATTCCGATCAGCTCTACAGCACGAAAAGGAAGGCTACACAATCTACAAAAATCAGGTCAGTGGCATATGCTTGCTTTGCTTGCCCCATTTGGCTTTCCGGTGCGAAGCCCCTAGTTCTGTGCTGAAACCGTCCTGCATCTTACAATGTGGGGGAGGCTTGTTCGTACGAACAGCTGGTGGAGAACTCCTCCTAGACTGTTAGGAGGTGATTGTCTTGCCACGTGCCTTTAGAAAGCTAGTGTTGCCACAAGGTCTCCCGTTTGACTTGTAGCCTTAGTGTCGCAGTCACTGGACAGATTTTCAGTCTGTGTGAAACACCTGCAGGCTTCATCGCTGCTGCAGAATGCTAAGCTCTGAGAAAGCAGTGACAAGATGCAGAGGGCATGTCTCGCTCCCGATAATGCCCTTTCAGATCTAAGACACAAACCAGTCCTGGGGGCAGGTGGATCCTGTCTTGTTTGCAGAGCTCACGGAGACGCAGCAAACCTGCCAACGTGTTCAGGCAAACCTGTTCGACAAAGAAGCCAGGCAATCGATTGAGCTCGCTCTCATGGACAAAATGCTCAGCCTGGTGGAGGACGCATCTCTTAACCGGAGAGAGAACATGCATCTTCTTGATGCAAGCGCACCGTTTTGATAAGCAGCTGCCTGCAGGCAGTGTTGCATGTTAGACGAGGTCATCCGCACTCACTCTACAGAGAGACAAAATCCAGTCCCAGTGGGTTGCAGTAGGTGAGATCTTACACTGTCTCAAATAACCATGTAGATGCTTTTCAGAGTAGCAGCCGTGTTAGTCTGTATTCGCAAAAAGAAAAGGAGGACTCGTGGCACCTTAGAGACTAACCAATTTATTGGAGCATGAGCTGTTGTGAGCTACAGCTCACTTCGTCGGCTGCATGTAAATGCTGTGAGTCAGGCAGAGTTCGGGGTTTGTTCTGATACAGGGTGTTTGTTTGTTTGTTTTGTTTCTGGCCAGCTTGGAGAACACCACGAAAAGACCAAAGAAAGCTCTGAGTACTTGAAATACCTGACTCAGCAAGCAGTGGCTCTTCAACGCACAATGAATGAGATCTACAAGAATGGATCCAATGCAAACATTATGCCACTTAAGGTAACTTGCCTGCGTCTGGGTATTTGCCGCAAAGACGTGTATTTGCTGCAATAACAGTTGCAATGGGTAAACTTTTTGTTTCTCCTGGTTTGGGAGATAGTACTCGCTCTACTGGTATTCCCTATTTTACTTGCACAGGGTTTCTTGGGCAGGTAGGATCTTCCAAAACAGAAGTGACCAAGTGCAACCCTGGATTTCTAAACCCCACCTGCTCAGCAATGTTCTTCTGGATTCCTTACCCATAACCTCGTAGTTAAGACTTTCTTTTGCCCCCAAGAGAAACTGAGCTGTCTTGGTCTATAGGTTTGCAGAAATGGGCTAGACAGAGAGCACCTGATACTGCAGGGTGCCTTTTTCAAATCTGACTCTTTGAAACCTTCATTTGTAACACTAGCTCATGCACCAGTGTGACACGTGCTGTTGGCTTTGAATTTTTCAGGCGGTTTCATGGTCAGATAACTGCAAGAAAGGCCTAGGAACTTGCTGGGTTCTGATTTCTCTTCCCCCCCCCACCCCCCAAACTGAGGAGGTTGGGTGATTGCTCTGCACCATGGTCAGTCCCAGCTGGAAAAATCGGTACAAAAGCATCAGGCAGTCCCTGAGTCTGAGTTTGGGAGCCTGGAACGCCTTAGTTCTGACTCCACTACTGATTAACTGTGACTGTCTCCGAGTCCGTTAACTTCTGTCTCCGTTTCCTCTGTAAAATGGCCCCTGTTCTTTGCAAAGCATTTTGAAATACATGGAAAGCAAGCACCAGGTGAATAAACGTTCAGCCGAACTGTCGGCAGAGCTAGCCTGACAGGAGGCTGGACGGCAAATCCTATCCAAGCAGGGCCATGCCCACCCGCCAGCACTGCAGCAATTCGCGTGTGAAGCGTCTGGTTCCAAAACCAGCTGCTCTTATCTGCGTGCGCACCTTGCGGGAGCAAAGTTCTCCTTGCTGTGCTTGGGGAAGAGCCCAAACGCCCACACACGGTGAGTGCCCTTGGGACTTGCTGTGCGGGAGCTGCTGTACTGCTGGGTTGCCCCCCCTTTTCAGCTACAGAACTGGAGAGATTAAAACGAAACGTCTTGAGCAAGATTATGGATGCAACTCGAATTAGGTGACACACTCAGGCCAGGGACTAAGGCAGATGCTTAAATGTGCCAAGGCTAATCCTTCCCCCATCCCCACCCTCCTGTCAATTTCTGAGGGAATGGCTCAAATCCACGAGACCATAAAGTTTAATCTCTCCTTATTCCCTGAAATTAAAAAGCCCAAATCCATTCAAATTTGGCCCATTTAATTGGTTCCAAAATTGGGATAGTTATGCAGTCCTATTGCCCTGCCCTGTCTCCCATCTCTCCTGTCTACATAGGCACTTCTGAGGCCTCCAGCATTGAACTAGTAATCAGGTTTAATACAGTAGTGCCTGGGGACCAACTAAGATGGGCCCCATTGCGCTCGGTGCTGTACAAATGTACAGGGGTGCGCCTGATTTATCCTTCAGCCTCCTTTAGGAGGTGAGGAAGTATTATCAAGTGTGAGTCAATGCTGAGGGGTCTCTGCTTTTTAGGATAGCTTACAAATGGCTGACTGACTGATTTATTTTTAACCCTAGTTCACCGCTCCCAGTATGGCGAGTGTGCTGGAGCAGCTCAATATTATCAATGGAATTCTCTTCATTCCGCTCAGGTAGTGTGGGGCACCTGGTGGCGTGCTTTTTCTCCGGTCTCGTCCCGGAGCCCCGCTGCATGGCTGTTTCTGGGAAAATCCGTTTGCCCCTGTAAATCCCTGTTCCCCCGGGATTATTTTAATCTGACACTTCCATTTGTATCGAGCTCTGATTCAGTGTGGGCTCTTTGGTTGGTGGGAGGGAGACCCCGATAAATGGCAAAGAATTGTGGGGAAGTTGGTGATTTTTCTGACGGCATTTAGCAAAAGGCACCAAGTCAATGCGAAGTGCTTCTCTTCGGTAAACAAATCATTTCTGAGCCTGGTGCAGTGGCCTCAAGGTATTGCTGAATTCACAGACGCCAGGCCTACAAACTTCTGAGTCTGCCCCTTGGGTATGGCAGAGGCAGCTAGTGCTGACCACCAGCCAGAATTAGGATGGGCCACGGGCCCAGGGGAGCAGTCAGCAGCTTCACTAAGGAGGGTGGTAAAGGTGTCGGGCGCAGTTTAAAATGTGTAAGCCGTGCTGATCTCGTGACCTCTGCCTGGTGCAGGGGGAATGCAGGCCTGGTCTCCTTTGGGACCATGTATAGTTGGGAGAGGGGAGTCCAGCAAAAAGCCCCTTGGAGCCAGATGGCAGTTCAGTAGGGAGAGGGCTGACATTGGGAAAGGAAACTGTTCTCACCTTCTGCACCCTGAACCCCTTATTTCTGGCCCCACCCTGGACCCTGTGCCCAGAGGCCCTCCCTACTCCAAACCCCTCTGTTCCACCCGCAGCCCCCTCCTGAACCCCAAACACCTCATCCCTGGCCCCACTCCAGAGCCCGCACCCCAGCCCCCAATTTCGTGAGCATTCATGGCCCACCATACAATTTCCACACCCAGATGTGGCCCTCGGGTCGGCAAATGTTTTGGCCTCTCCTCTAGGAGCACAATAGTGCTTGTCCTTGTTCCCAGGGTCATACCTGGGACAAATGAAGGAACGGTCCCATCCTGGCCTTACTGAATAACTCGAGTTTTACAGTGACAAGACTGGTGAGGTAGCGGGGAGCAGCCTGTAAGTGTGGGTTATCCCACCACTGTTAAACAGGCCAGCTGCATTTGGCAGGTGGTGTGCAGGGCCCTACTTCACCAGAGGGCTGGCATTGTAAAGAGACGCTGGAGGAGGCTGGAAATCCCCCAGGATTTCCTACCTTCCCCCACAATGCTCACCCTCCTCGTCTCACGTTCCCGAAGTAGCTGTAATACGGGCCCCCCCCTTTCTGCTTTCCTCCCTAGCCAAAAGGACTTGGAGAACCTTAAAGCGGAGGTGCAGCGACGGCAGCAGCTCCAGGAGGCCGTGAAGAGCAGCGAACAGCTGGAAGCAGAAGACACAGGCTCCGAGGAGAGGGAGGCTGAGCCGAGCATGGCTTCTGCAGAGGTCCCCCCAGCACAGAGCTCTGCTTAAAGTGTACCTCCCTTTAAAAAAAAAAAAAAAAAAGTTTAAACCCTCCCCCTCTTTCTGAGTCTGAACCAGGGTCTCGGGCTCCCCTGGGGCAGCTTCTCTCTTTTTTTTGACAATGTTATTGCACTGGTACAATTAATACACAATGCAAAGAGCTAAGTTGAGAACTAGAACCGGACTGTGCTCGGGTCCGCCACACGAAGGGGGAAAGGTGGCCAGGGTGCAGCAGCGTATGAAAGAACAACTTAGATGAGGACAGCCGGTGGCTGTCAAGGCCGGGGGTGTGTGCGTGCGTGTGTGTGTGTGTGTGTGTGTGTGTGTGTGTGTCATCAGTCCATTTCGACTTTGTACATATATCTGAATTCCAAATGAATGGGCTGGAGGTAGGACATTTCTCAGGTCATTTTACGTTGACTAAAGGACACTGTTTTGCAAGAACACCCATCCCAGGGCACAGTTCTAGCTCAAAACCTGGATTCCAAGCCAAATGATACTGGGTTTTTTTGTTGTTGTTTTTAGTTGCTGCCCTAAGGGGGGAAAAAGCAGCTATACTGGTTTGTCTAACTGATTGCAACCTGTGAAGAGTGAGGGGAAACATACTGCTTTTTGCTACATTAGGATATAGCCATTTGGGTCCTCTAGCCTTTCTTTTGTTGTTCAGTTCCGAGTGTCCATGGGATTTTCATACCGTTTACATTCTGATTTCATGATCTGTAGGTCATGGTGCAGCCCTTGTGCTCTCTGCTTGAGCCTGAGTAACTGAGGAAATTGCATCCAAAGAGTAAGGGTTTAAAATAAAATTTTTAAAAAGTACCTATTAATCCATTTACAATGGAAAATCCCAGTGCCTACCCTAGATCAGTGTTGGCATTAAAGTGGACTGTACAAATGAAATTCACATAAGGGGAAAACCTGGCCTCTGTTGCAGTAGCTTGCAGGAGGGGAGTTTGTCCTTCTTACAGCAGCTACTTTAATACAAAGCTGAATGAGCATCAGAAGTTAATCATCTTTTAATTGTAAGGTAATCAGCAAACTTCTACAGGTTTGAATCATGTGTGTCTTTACACAACCTAAAATTGCTAGGCATTTTTCCCTCTGGCTGAAAGAATACTAAAAATCCCATAGCACTTAATGCTAGGGATAATGTCTTGTTTTGGGGTTTTTGTTGGGGTTGTGTGTTTTTGTTTTGTTTTTTGTTTTTTTTGCAGGCTGGGTTGAGATCGCTCCCAGCAGAATTTCCATTGCAGGCAATGGATGTTACTGACATGGCAGATGCCAATGACTGAACAATATTGACTTTTTCTCTTCTCGCTTCTGCCTGCCCCCCCCTTAAATACAGCATGCTTCCTGGTGTGCAGTCACAAGGCAAATAGGTGAGATCCACTGCAGGTCATGGGATGCCGACAGAGTTGAATGTCCTTTTCCAAGTAAATGAAGACATACAGTGAGATGTTTGCTAGTCCAAAACCATATCATGCTGCCCAAGGAGTCCAGTCTCTTTGTCAGCACTGGTACTATGCTAATTTGCATTGCTTTTTTGATGACCTTCTGGGAAAACAAGTGCTATCACTGTGCTCTTTATCCTTGGTTTCCTGTACTGCATTACTGGGTATTTGTAACTTTTTGAGGGGAGGGGAGGGGTGGGGTGGGGTGGGGGGGTGAATGTACAAAGCAGAAGGCATCCCTGATCCAAAAGAACTTGCTCCCCTGTGGAAAACCATTCAATAAATGACAAGGCATCTTTCACAAAAGGGTTTTTGGTAATGTCTTCCAGTTCTAGTCCATTAATTAAACCTCTTTTAAATAAAATAAAATGTGCAAAGTAGTTTACTAAGAAGTTTGCTTTCATTCAACACAATAAAATTAGAGTTCAGGGATTTGTTTAACAGATTATGTTGCCACTTCTTCTACTTCACACTAGTGCAAAGAAGGGGAAATACCCATGGTGTAAACCAGGTCCAAAGAGGACTGAGCCCAGAGTCATAGGTGGGTTAAGATACACTCAAGCTCTTGTGAAAACCCCAGCATTAATCAGCACATAGGCATTAATCATCCAGGTGCCACTGAACTTTAATGGGATGTGAGTGTCTTACTCAGTTGAGCTAATACTTCCCTTAAAGTGCTTAAAATGTCATCTTTTCCCCAGTGGCTCTGTATTTCTAATGAAGCTCAAAACAAACCAACCACCTGCATTGTGGATTTTTGCACCAGTGTCCTGTTAAGATTGCTCTGATCCTAGGCAAATTTGTTTTGCAACACAGGCAGCTTGAATCTCTCTCCTTTGAAAAAGGTAATACCAACAGCTGTGGCCATTAACACAAATCAAGCATGGGTGCTCAGCCATCTCCAAGGTCTGCTGCTCTTATCCTGTCTAAAACCACATGCAAATTGTATAGAAGGTAACTGACCTGCCGCTACTCTTGCTCTGATGAAATGACAAACATTCTGCCTCTGTAAAAGTGGCAACTGCTATAAAGTGAGTAACTTTTCATTTCTTTAAAATACTTAATGTAGTTTGGTAGGATCCTCATGAGTTTTGACGGTGTATCTGATGTTGAGGGCACTCAATACTTTTGTGTAACTATAGAACAACTCATGGGGTTGTCTCTCAAGGTCCCTGGAGGTAGGTAAATCACTGCTTTTCTCACCCCTTTGCAATTTTGTCCTTTTTATAGTGCGGTCTAATGATTTCACAGTAAGGGAACTTCAGCAACGTAATTTATACTGCACCTGGATGTACATGTAGGACATGAACAGCAAGGAAGAGACCTAAACAGTTGGGATGAAGTGTCAGTTGTTTGGATTCTATCCACCCCCTCTCTTTGGAAAGAGGTAAAGTAGCATAGGAGTTAGACAGTGAGTTGAATATTGGAGCTAGGCCAAGCATGAACTCCTCTGGGTTCCTTTTAACCAGATGCATAACGCCCAAGACTCCAGTTCTTGGCACAGCAGGAGGCATAGGTGGCCTAGATACTGAGGAAATAATGGAGACCATCTGTTCCTGTTTAGTGAAGTATCCACAATTGTGTAACAGTCTCTATTTCCAAATTAGGCCTGGTCTATACACATTGTGTCAAGATATGATTTTTTTTTAAACTGTGCCATGGTGTTTAGACAAGCCCTTAAACAGTCTCACGTTATGCTTTGCTTGGGGGGAATGCAATACAAATGGACTGTAGGCAGTTCTCCTTCCCCTGTAGCCTATGAAAATGGATAGTCTGTCTGCTGCAACATCCACAAAGGCTGGGGTTTGGAGCAGTAGGTTCTGTGCTCCTTAGCCACACAACGGTGGCACAGGTCTTTCGGTAAGCTACACACCACTTCAGGAGTGATACTTCCCTGCAGAGATGAATTCTTCACAGGCAGAGTCACAACCCAGGCAGTGGGGGAAATGAATTGGACAGTCACAGAAGCAGAGGAGTAGTCTAAACTGATTTCCTACCACACCCAGTAAGGGGGGAGGGCAGATGAGACTTAGATACAGAAGCTGAATCACCACCTGCCTCCTGCATGTTTTGTTCTCTAGCCTGATTTCTGCATTTTAGTAAGTTTTTTTAAGTTAATAAAAATAGCACCAAGTAACCAACTCCACCCCTGCCCCCTCATGCAGTGCTGGGGAGGTACCTGTCTGTCTCAACACTAAAGAAAATGAATGCTCGAGCCCTGCTCCTAACCCCTGGGAGTAGTTAATTTTCCTTCCTGCTTGGTATAATTATGCTCTACCCAGCTTCAGGAGTAGCTTATAGGGAAGAGAGGGGCTTAGAACTGATCAGTTTTTCAAAATAATCTTGTTCTGATTCGCCAGGAGGGTGTTGGCTTTTCCTCCCCATCACTTCCAAAAAGGGACTCCTCCAGCTTTTTCCCTGTCAGTGGAAAGGCTCCACTTAATACAAATTTGCTGTAGCTCACAAAAGCTTATGCTCAAATAAATTTGTTAGTCTCTAAGGTGCCACAAGTTTTTTGTTTTTTTTTTTTGGAAACCCTTCAGACTCGATCCCTTGTTTTGAGTCGTTTCAGGCCACATGAGCCTAAAAGCCAGCTTCCCACCTCTGGCCTCCCACACTGGAGTGGGAACAGGACACCTGCCTGCTAAGTGTGAAAAAGCAGTGTGTGAGAGAGGTACCTGCTGGAGCAAGGCAGAAAACAAAATGCACATTACCAATATTGCATCACATGCTGGCTCAACTCCGCCTGGGTTTGTTTTTTAAACTCAATTCATCAGCCTTACAACCACCTACTCAATATTTTCTTTTAAAATAAATGCCCTGGCCAAGGAGTGGTACCCCCTTCAGCCATTTCCTCAGGACAGTGCAAAGTATTTCAACTAGACCTTGGGAAAGAATGGGTGTAAACTTAAAAGTATCTGTTACAGCATCTGAGTCTAGCCTTGTTTCAAGAAACAATCAGGAGCAACCAGCCTTATGAGGTGGTTTCCTCATAAGGCACAGACAAGAATGTAGGTTTGGAAAGTACAGTAACAAGATACCGTATTCAACACCAAATCAATTCTAATGACTAATCGCAGTGCTGCCTAGGGTTAAACAAAGTTGCTCATTTGGGGGGCTATTGGAGAGAGGAGGAAGAAATGAGCAAAAAAAATACAGAACTCCACAGAGAATTGTAGCTATAACAGCAGAGAATCTCACTCCTTTTATACCTGCACTGTAGGAAAGAGAGCTGCAGACACTGATCCATAAATTAAACTACCAGGATCAAAGTTCTTCTACCCCTCAACAGTTAAAGAGGTTTTTCAATTCCAAATTCCGCACACAAAGTAAGCCACGCATTGATCGTGGTAGCAAGTGGTTTGTTTGTTCTTGGGAGTGAGGGGACATGCACAGAAGGAACCACCTTTGCAATCACTGTCTGATGTGAAACTTAACTGCTCAAGACTGAATAGGCTAGAGCAAAATGAACAGCTCACTCTTGGGGAATTTAAATGAACTCTGGGCCTCCATCACAAAGACATCAGAAGATGAATTCATCTGTTTAAGTTATCGATGGAACCTCGCACTCAAGCGGAACCATGGATCTGTCAAAAGGTGAGGATGA